TGCGATCCTGGCTGGATACACACAAAAACAAAAACAAAAACAAGACTTTTTTTTCTACAAAGGACATAATTGGGACAACTGGCAAACTTTGAGTAAGATAGGTTAGATGATTGTATCAGTGTTAAATTTCCTGATTTTGACAATTGTACTGTGATTTTGAGGTGAGTATCTTTGTTCTTAGGAAAAGATCACATGGAAGTATTTAGAGGTCAAGTGATGTAAGGTCTGCCACTTATTCTCAGATGACTCAGGAAAAATCATATGGAAACCTAGGTTGGATAATAGTGCCACATTTAATCACATCTCAGCTGCTCATTCTCACATATCTGGATACTGACTTCCTCTTCAACTGCTGTGAGCAGGCGGCGGGCACCTGTAAATGGCATTTGCTGTCCATGCACATCAAAATTTGTGCAATGGGTGACAATGACTTGGAAGAAAATCCTGGAGACAAAACAAAGCACCTCTTTAAACAATTCTGCATCACTAACACTTTGATGGCACACAGAGCAGTATCTTGACTAGCAACAACCCTGAGCAAAAAGTGAATCTGGGTCTACTTAGAAGTAATCCTGTAGAGCGAACTGAGGTTGTCAGAGCCAACTTCAATGGGATCTGAGGTCACTAAAAAAAAAAAAAGGCATCACTTTAATGTACCTAGAAAATGTTCTGGGAAATTGGACCCAGACGATTCACATTGTCAACAAACACTTTAAAATATTTCCAAATAAACCTACCCAAAATTACTAGAAGTCATGTGAGGAAATTTAAAATGAGGACATGCCAGTTCTTTCCAAATTAATCCTTAAAGTTAAGACAATCATAATAAAAATATCCCTAAAATATCAGTTTCATAATATCAGCCTCCTTTTCAGCTAGTAGTCGCCATGAACAATATTTAGGCCAGTAGGATGTAAGCAGAAGTGATGTTCGCAATGCCTGGGTCATCTTGGGTGGCACAGAATATCCAGCTTTTATCAGATCTTGTTTCCTGTTTTTGGGCAAACAGCTAGATACGTTTCCCAGCCACTCTTGCATTTAGGTCTAGCCATGGGGCTGGGTTTTGGCCAATGAAATGCAATCAAAATACATGCACTATGTCCAGGACAAATCACTCATGTGATTCCCCATGTTCTCTCTTCCCAAAAATTCTGGTTGGACAGAGGATCCAGAAGAGAATTCTGAGTGTGTAGGGGATAGCAGAACCATAAAGGAACCTGGGTCCCTGAAGGCATATGCCTAAAAGAAACTGGCACATTAGACAGTGTGTGAGGGAGATATATACACTTTTATTGTGTTAAGCCTCTGAGACATGGGAGCTTATTTGTTACAACTCGCATTACTTACTCTGACTACTGCATCTTCTCAGCGGCAACAGTAAGTGCCCTTCTTTCCCCATCTTCTCCTGCATGCTACCAGGAAGTAGAAAAAGCTGTAGCAGTTGCTTGACTGCAGACAGGGAAGCCATATGTGGAGGATGGCAAATTAATAAAAGGAAACATTTAAAATGGAATTGGCAGGCCAGAAAGGAAACCCTCATGTCCTACCGCTCACCGTCAATTATAAACCCAAAAGGAAAAGACATACCTTGCAATTGCAATGGAAGAAGCCTATACTTTGCTACCCGAGCAGAAGGAAGAAAGATTTTCTTCTTTCCTAGCAACAGCCCAGCCAATGAGAGGCCCACAGCTTGGTTGGTGAAAAGCCACTACATTTCGAACTCCCAGTTTTCTCCAATGGACTTTTTGTTTATAACATCCCCCCACCCACCCCCTTTCCTCTGTGAGAGAGTACTCCTCTCCTTGGTTCTCAGGACTTCCCTATAGTTTTGCCATAGTTTGTTTATCTCAAATTGCAGTTCTCTGTTATTCTCAAATAAACCCATTTTTGCTGGTAAAATAACTGAGTTTTATTTTGAAGGTTAACATGGTGTTTGTCCAGCTGATGGATATGAACTAGTGTCTTATTGTGATTTTAATTGGAATATCCCTGAATACAGTGGCACTGATCCTTAGTTTATTGATCATTCCTAAAGCTCAGAAATTTGACACCACTATGCTTTGGATGTGACCCAGACTCTTGCCTGGCTGAACCAGCATGGCTATTGTGAGGACAACCTGAGGCCTGCAAGCCCAGGAGGTCTCCTGTAAGGTCCCTAAGATCATTTCCCAGTCCTGAAAAGGAGGGGCTTTGAGACTAGGGTCACCAGATTTAGCAAATAAAAATACAGGATGTTTGGTTGAATTTGTATTTCAGATAAATAACACACAAAAAATGTAGTTTAGCATAATATGTCCCAAGGAAGTTTTGCTCAAAAATATTACACCAAGCAAAAGAATCCAAAGACCGAAAAATACAGGTTATATGACTCCATTTCTGTAAAACTTTAGATCAGGCAAAACTAATCTCTAATGACAGAAGCCAGAACAGTGGTTGCTTGAGGGAGACAGGAATTGACTGGAAAGGACCACAAAGAAGCTAACTTCTGGAATGATGGAAATGTTCTTTAGCGTGTCTCGGGTAGTGGTTCCACAGGTGTATGTAGTTGTCAAAACTAAACCTGTCACATTTTACTGAGTGTAAATTATGCCATACATGCAAACAGTAAAAAACAGCTCACACAGTGGGCTCTGAACCAGAGGCAAGGAAGTAGGATGTGCTGATTGGCTTATGCCTGAATCACATATAGGCACAAGAGTCGGCTTCCATTAAAGTAAGAGAAGTTACCAAGGAGAGTAAGCAAGGGGGGTGGGGGTGGGCATGGGGCTGGGGAGCAAGTATATGTTTGGCTGCTATAACAATGTGACCCAAAATACCAGTGGCTTAAGCAATACAGAAGCTTATTTCTGTCTTAAGTAAGTTTGGCACTAGGGATGGAGGTGTGAGAGCTTTGCTGCAGGAAATCACCAGGGTCCCAAGTGAGTATGCTCACCATTGGTCTCTTATCTAATGCCCACGATGGCTGCTCAAGGAGGACATGGCCCCCCCTTCCTTTAAAGGCTTATCAGAAGTTGCTTATACCAGTTCTGCAGAAATCTTTTTGGTCATATTCAATCTGATGACCACCCCTAACTGTAAGGAAGGCTGGGAAATGTAGTTTTTATTCAAGATGGCAATGTGCACAGCTGAAAATCTGTTATTCTGGAAAACAGGGAGAATGTATAATGGAAGATAAATATAATCTCTCCCACTGGTAGTGTAATGGTGCTTATAAGATTGTGAAGTTTTCAGTCAAATGCTTGGGTTCAAATCCTGTCTCTTCCTTCTGTTCAAATCCGTTGATCATGTGACCATGGGCAATCTACTTCTCTTCTCTGTTTTTGGTCAAGCTTTCATAATTCTCTGGTCTCATCTAATTCCTCTGGCAATAAAACAGTTTCATCAGGTAGAAAATGAAAGTAACAAACCCCTAAGGAGGCTGTAAGAATTAAATGAGCTAATGCACATAAAGTGCTTGGAATGGTGCCTAGAACAGTGTAGTAAGTGCTCAGAGGCATTAGTAGGAGTATATTTATCATCTCATTGCCCTAATTCAAAAATTGAAATCTGCCTGATAGAAATTGAGACTCGAAAAGGAGAGAGCATGAGCCTGCTTTCATTTTGCTTATTTGTTCAGCACATGTTTTCTGGATCCTTGGCCTTCTGTTTCTGAGCCAATGCTGATGATTGAGACATAGTGTAGTCTAGCTCATATCCAACAGGAATTCTTTGGTTCCAAGTTATAAAAATTCAACTGCAACTAACTTAGAACTAGTTAACTAGGATAAAAGGGAAATTTTAATGGACTATGTAATCAAAATTCTGGCATGACAGTGTATACCTGGCCTCAAGAGTACTGTAACCAGGGAAGGGAGTGCCAACAGGAGGCTCTCATTGCATCTCTTCCTTGCTTCTCCCTAGTGTCAGTTTATTCTCTCCTTCCAGTGTGGGAAGATGGCCACAGACAGCACTGAAATTATTCCTTCATAGCCTCACCACACAAAAGGAGAAGGCTTCTTTGCCCACACACTCTAGACCCAAAAACCCAGGGAAGGACTCTCATTGGCTCAGCCTACAGTCTGTACAGGGCGGGACGTACTGATTGGTCCATCTTGACTCACTTGCCCATTCCCCAGCCAATCACAGAGAGGGGAGCGACACACAAGGGAGTGGCAGCTTCTATTCTAAACGAGAAGGGAGTGAGTTTCTGAGCTCCTGTAGACAAATAGTCTTCAACTAACCTTCGCATTAATTGTTTTCCCTCCTGTGGCTGGAAACTAGGAACAGAATTTCAAGAGTCAGGCGGTCTAGGAGATGACAGGAGAATCGTTGGAAGTATGGCCTCCCCAGCCCACACAGTACAGGTCCCTGCATACAGCAGGCCCCCGATACGTGCTTTTTGAATGAATGACTGAATTAATGCACTGTTAGCAGAAGGTGTCCTGGGACGGTCCCGGTTTCATAGAACCTGAGCTGATGAAGAGGGAAGCGGAATTGGGGAGGTCCCGCACACCTGCGGGGCGTGTCTCAAGGCGCAGACTACCGCCCTGACAGACGGAACCTGTAGGCGACGAGCGGGACCTTGGGGCCCAACTGGGGGCGGAGGCTTCCAGACCCCAGAATTTTGGATTGCACCATCTTCTATCTGTTAGAGGGGAGAGCCAAGGAGGCCCTTCTGCATCTTCCGCCAGCCCTCTTACCACTCCCTGGCCACGAAGACGACGTATTTGCCCAACATCCGCACAGTTCCCCGCCTTCACTTCGTTACGCCTCACAGCTCCACGCTGCCACACATTTCAGGTTTCCCCACCACCACCACCACGCAGTGGCTCGCCCCAATTTGACGCATTGCAGGGAAGGCCGGACCAATCGGCGCCACGCTCTCATTTCCGCCAGGACCCGAGCCCAATAGCGGCGCGGCTCACACAGGGACGCTTCACGCGCCGCCGAGCGGTGCTCCTCCGCTGGAGAGGAAAGTGGGGTGGCACAGGAAGCGGAGCACGCAGGGACGGAAAGTAGTCCCGCGGCGGGTGCGCGCGCGCGCAGCCCGTGGCAAACCCCGACCCTGGGCAGGTGACCGCAAGAGGTCTGCGGGCCCGTCAGTGCGGAGTGAGGCGCGGAGGGATCCGTGAGAGTCGCAGTGCGACAGCACGCGGACCGGGGGGCGCGCCCACCGGGCGGGGCGGGGCCGGGCTAGGCGGGGCGCGCGCGGCGGCCTTTGGGGACCATTGGGGCGGGCGGCGGCAGCGGCGGCGCGCGCTGCGGGCAGTGAGCGTAGAGGCGCGGACGCGCGGCGGAGCTCGAGCTGGTGCAGCTGGTGCAGCTGCTGCCGCTGCCGGAGGAACCTCGATCGCCGCGCTCCGGACACCCGGCTTCGCCATGGTGAGTGAGGCTGGGGATCTAGGGTGGGCGCGGCGGGGCAGGACCGCTCAGGGGCCGAGTGGACCCAGAACGGGGGGCGGCGGGGCCTCGGCGAGTGCCTCCGGACCCCTCTCTGCCCCCGCTGTCGGGGGAGTGGAGCCCAGAGCGGGACATTTGGATCCCAAAAGGGGGGTTAAGGACCCCCAAAAGCGACTTTTAGCACCAAAGAAAGTGTTTAGACTTCGAAATGGGCACCTGAGCTCCCAGAGGGGACATTTGAACACAGGAGGGAGCATCTGGATCCTCAAGGGGGGCGTTTGCACCCCAGAAAGGGCTTTTGGACCCATGATGGGGTTTTTGGTCTCCGAGGTGGGAGTCCGGGGCCCCGGGAGCGCGATAAGAAACCTTGCCTGGAGAAGGGGTTATTGGGCCCTGAGGGAGGCTTGGGGTCCTGAGGATGCAGGGAAGGGGATCAGGGAGGCCAGGGTGCTGGGGTGCTCCGGGAGAGTCCGTGGGTAGCTCGGCCTTGGTGGCGAGGGGTGTCCCTGGACGGCAGCGTTCTGCAGATCAGACCCATGAGGACAGAGAGGGGGTTCTCGGAAGACCGAAGACAGGCACTGCAGAGGATGGAGGAGGAGGGTGAGGTGCAGGCTTACAGAAGGAAGAGCCTGGAGTGGGTGGTGGTGGAGGGTAAAAGATGCTCTTGAAGCCTGTGGGGACCGAAAAGGACTGGGGTTGGGGGGTGATTAAGAGGATGGTGAGACTAGAGCTTGCCTATGGTGGGGACCAGGGACTTCGTGGTTCGGAGAGAAGAGGTTTCTAGGAGTGGGTTAAGGCTGTTGAGCTAGAAGGGAGGTTGGATTTGGGAGGGAGTTGGGGAGGAGTGTTGTATTAGGGTCCATGAGAAGGTGGGTTTCCAAGCTGAGGGGTGGAAGAGGACTTTTGGCTTGGGTGCTGGGAGGTGGGGTGGAAGGGGGTCTGGAGGGTGTTGGAGGTGAAAAGGAATGGCAACCGAAGTGGGCCTAGGTTTGGAGGTGGATGTGGGTAGCTCCCTGAAAGTCTCCAGGGAAAGGCTGGGACAAAGACTGGGCAGTCTGCATGGGGAGTGGGCTGCTGAGGCCAGAGGGAGTGGCTTTGTGGTCCCCTTCCCTAGGAAGAATGGGGCTGGGCACAAGGCCCCCAGGGCAGTGAGAGCAGGTGGGCGGAGTTGTTCAGGCCCCATTGCGCACTGGAGCTGCATGAAGTGGGGGTGGGGGATCAAAGTTTGGGATGCATCAAACGAGCCAGGTTTTTAAGCCTAGAACCTCACCCCCTCCCTGCTGCCCCTGTCGGACCCAGAGAACTGTTTTTTCCAACCCGGAGTGCTGGTTTTCTCGTGATGCCCAGCTCCACGCACTGTTCTGCATCTCCTCACTGTGCCAAATGACAGTGCAGTACAGTGTGGCGTCAGTGACAATCAGACGTCTGTTCCTGTGGCCTCGGGGTGGGAGCTGCAGAGCTTGAACAGAGAGGACCTCCACAGGGACCCCATCACCAGCCTGAAGGCCACCTGTTCCATTGAGGGCCCCGACTGACTGCTTCGGTTAACTCGCACGGCTAGGACTTCCAGAGAAAGCCAGCAGACTAGTTCTTTCCCACTCCCTGCCACCCACAACACCCACAGGCCCCCAGGCTCAGCCTCAGAACCACGTGGCCGACCTCTCTGGCAGGCCTGGGGAGCACAGCCAGCCGCTACTGTGTGTCAGATCTCATGCTTGCTGACACAGACCTGATGGCTCCTCTTGCTGCTGGTCCATTTTCCCCCAGCAGAACCTTGCTAAAGGGGCCCCGAAGCACGGCAGATGCCAGGAGGCCCCCCACTCCCAAATAGGACCCGAACTTTGGTCCCTGCTGGTTTCTCTTTCCATTTGTAATCAGCAAGATGTGGGTGGAACAAGTCTCTGTTAACTGGCCTTGGACTTTGAACTGGCTCTGTGGCTCCTCCTCGGCCCAGTGAGGGGCCCTGGCCTTGGTTTCCAATCTCATCTAACACCGTTCTCTGACACTGGCTTGGGGGCTGGGGCAAGGCAGAGAAATAATACCGTCTTCCTTCCCCCACCCCAAGATGTTTTTTCTTGCCTAGCCCCTTGCTGTAGCCTAAGATGAGAGACAAGGAAGCAGTAGACCTGCTGGGTTATTTTGGAGACAGTTTTTGGTGAAAGCTTTTAATCTTCAGATCTGCAAAGGGAAGGACGGGTCCCGGGCACTGATCACTTCTCAGGTGACCAACTTCCTGGGCAGCAGCCATGCTCAGAGATCTATAGCTTGGAACTGGGACCTTACATTCTCCAAGTGGGGCAGTCTCCTAACAGGAGGGAGTTTCTGACAGGCCCTACAGGCAAAGCCACGCCTATTTGCAGCATCTCTGTAACCAGTGTGGCTGTAGCTCACCTGCGCCTTCCGGCTGGGCTGTGGGGAGGCCTCCAGAGCCACTCTTGGGCATTCTGCAACCTGCTCAGCCTCCTGGCCCCCAGCGCAGCCCCGCACAGTGCCACCCAAAGGTGGGGAGAATTGGGCTTCTTGCAGAATGCGGTGGGAAGGGTGGGAAGGGCCCTGGCTGGGCTAGCTCTTCCCCTTCTGGTCCAGGGGAAGAGAATGAAAAGCAGCTGGAATGGCAGCCCTCCTCCCCGACTGTTCTTCCCCCTCCCCAGCACGGCCTGGCATTGGTACCCAAGAAGCCCATCCTCTCTTCTCACTCTTCCCCCGCAGCAGCTTCCTCAGGGTCAGGAACTAAGGGACTGACCCAGGCTTCTTTGCCACAGGAGCCAAGGGAAGCAGATAGAATAAGGGGCTCGTGGGCCCGGGGCTGCCAGGTTGGCAGCTACCAGCCCAGCAGCCCTGAGCCTTTTTTGAAGGCAGTGCAGAAGTGTCTCCATTTGACCTCCCAACTTTCCCTTTAGACTTCGGACTTTTCCAGAATGTCCATGTGTGGTGTGGTGTTTTCCTTCTCTGCCTGCCTTCTTCCTCCTCCCTTAACCATCTCCCCTCTGTCATCATCATTTTGATTTCCCCTCCCATCTGCCTATTTGGGGCTTGGCCTCAAGTTCCTCTTCTCTTAGATTAAAAAGCAGAAGAGTGCGGGAGGGCATTTTCGACAGGTTATAATGTGACTGGTTCTTAACATTTGGGGCGGAGTGGGGGTGGAGGGTTGTTTCTGGCTTGCAGTGGAAGCTCTGGAACCTCTCTGTAGAATAATGCAAATACATACAGTAGTTGACATTAGTTTGGGAAGCTCTCCGTCTTCTTAAAGCTAGAATCCTGCTATAGTCTGAGAGCCCCTTGCCCTGACTGTAAAAATAAGTAAAGGAGGAGGGGCAGTTGTGTGAAGCCACAGTAGTGGTAAAAACCATCAAAAACTCATCTTTCTGCGCCTAAAAGCTCTGATGGGGTTCAGCTCCCTAACCTGGCTCCATCCCCAGAGGATCCCAATACTGGCTGATTTCCAGCACACCAACGCAGGAAAAGCTAGCCTTTGCCTGTCCTCTACCCCTCCCCTAAACCCCCCCTGCAGCAAGGGCTGCCTGCCCCTGACTGGCCAGTCCCCAGAGTGGCCAGGGCTAGAAAGGGTTAAAAACTGTAGCGCTGCCTGGGAGGCTGGCTTAGTCCTTCAGCCTTCACTCAGCTGCTGCTGCACGCTACAGCCCCCTCCCTGACATTTGCCCCTCCTGCCCAAAAGAAACAGGACAAAAAGGTGCCCTGTGCCTGTACCCTGCCTCCGACCGGACCAAGGTTCTTTTAGGCACTCGTAGCAACTCAGGTCCCCCAGTTAGGAGTATTTCTGCCATTTGGGTCCACTGAGCTTGGACCCAGCGCCTCCAAATAGGGGACACAGGAACTAGCAAAGAGCCCAGGACATCCTTGCCCTGGCCTACACCCAAACTGGCCCGTTGCAGTTTGGAGCCTTCTAGAGCTGCTTAATTAGGCCTCTGGGGTAACTGCTCCCTTCACTCAGCCTCTGGGGCTCCCAGTGGCAGCGTTTGACACCAAGATGTGGACCTGTGCTGGGCCAGCCCCCTGTGGTTGGGGCTGGAGCAGCATGTCTCCCTGCCCACTCCGGCTCCAAAGCACTGGGTCAAGATTGGAAGCCTTGGGTCTAGGCAGCTTCATCAGACCCTGTGGCAGGTGGGCCTGTGTTTCCAGCCCGCCTTAGTCCCCAGCTTCCTGAGTCACCTGACTTTGTCCCAGACCTTCACTGTGCCTCATTCATGCCGCCTTGCCCGAGTACATGGAATGCCGTGTGGAGGGGGGTTCACTGGAAGGGGCTGGGCTGAGCCAAAAAATGATGGCCACCTAGTCCAGTGACTCATTTCCTCTTTCCTTCTTTTCCAGGCTGACCAGCTGACTGAGGAGCAGATTGCTGGTAAGCTCGCCCACCCCACTCCCCTCATCCCACCTTGGGAAGAGCCCTGATTCCCAGCCAAATCTTACTCCGGCCAGGAGTAACATCTGACAGATAAATGTGTCCCCTAAATCGCCACCTAATGCTATGCCTGGTGCTTAGGGTGTTGACAACTGTGTAGAAGAGCACACTCGTGCCCCAGTAACACCGAATCTCATGATCCTGTGACAGGCCTTTACCAGACGCCAAAGCCTGTGTTCCTCTCCTGGCCACGGGTCATCTGGGGGCCTTTTAGTAATCAGTGGCTGCAGGGTGAACCTGGCTGGCTGTCCCAGCTCCTGTCAATCAGGCCCTGCAGGTGAGCTCCCTGCCTCTCTGTGGGGCTGCAGAGCTCCTGTCCCACTTTAGGAGCCGCCCAGGAGATGGCTTGTCACTCCCACCTCTGCACCTCCCTGCGCTTTGCCCTCCCCTTTGCACGTGCCTGCGCTCGCTTTTCCTCTGCCGGAAATGTGTTCTCCACTCTGCATGGGCAGCTCCTGTTCGTGTCTCAGCAGCCGTGTCATTGTGGAGAGGCCTTCCTGACTCTGTCTCTCCGACAGCGTTTACATCACATCACTCTGCTTATATCCTTCATAGACTTTTGTCACTCTCTGAAATTATTTTATGGTGTCTTTACTGCTGTATCTCTTTTCACTAGGTGTGAGTTCCTTGAGCTGGGGACTGTTTGTTGGTCCCTGCTCCATCTTCAGTGCCTAGAACATAGTAGATGCTGTGTAAATTTTTGTTGGGACAATCGCATATCTCCCAGTAAGCTAAAAGAAATCTTCAGATCCCATCTAACTCATTTTTATGGTGCCCCTCCAATCCCCAAAAGATCACAGCTTTGGGAAATAGCGTGTGATTGAGTGTGTTACTGTGTCCCCCTCTCCACAGGCTGTGAGCTGCCTGAAGACAAAAATCACCTCTCAGTTTATCTCCATAGCCGTGGCTCAGCACCAAGTAGACAGGAGGAAGGGTTCAGAGAATGGGCCTCTGGGCCCCAGCCACCACCCAAAGCCCGGATCTGCTGTCAGGTTCAATGGGCCTCATGATGAGTGCTGAGTGCTGGCTTCTGAAGTGGGAGGAGGCAGGAATGGGCTTGCTTTCCCTCCTAAGCTCTCCTCCCCTCCCCCCAACACACAGAGTCGCACTTTCAGCTTCTGAGCTTGACCCCAGGTGGCTTTGGAGACCCACCAAGGAAAGCCCGAGAACTGCCTTGCTGTTTAGCAATCATGGTCTCAGGGTGCCCGTGTGACCCATCCCCTGCCCCCCACCAGGGACAGCAAGGCCTCAGTATGAGGAGGTGGTGGCATTCCTAAGGGGACTTTCCGCCTCCCCAGGACCCAGAGGCCCCGGGACACAGCTTCCGGGGCTGTGTGTGGCTCCCACCGCACCTGCCATCTACACCCCAACACTCTGCCCTGATGTAACACAAACACACACTCCACTCACCACCGTGTCCTGGTTAGCAAACTGTCCACCACCTCATCCCAGCCCACACCCGCTGGGAATAGGCTGCCAGGCATCTGTTCTCTGAGGGTTTGGGGGTAGGGAGCACCAGATGCCAAAATGGGCCCAGTGGGAGGGCAGGAGCCACATGCTTCCCTCCCCACTCCTGATGCGTCCCCAGCTGTGGCCTTCCCACTCAGCACCACTAGCTCTTCATCCTGGCTTGGCAGCCATCCCTTCTTCCATCCCCCTACCTACCCCACGCACCGTCCGTCAGCCAGGCTCTGCTGCCGACCACCCCCACACTACACCACACAGCCACTCACTCCTCTGGAAGCTGAAGCTGCTAGCCTCCTTGCGGGGAGCCGGGCTGCGGGACCACTCAGGAGAGAGACAGTGCTGATGCAAGGCACTCTGTGGCCTCTCCTTCCCTCCCCTTCCCTACCAGTTGACCTCGGCTGGCGTACTGTAGGTGGAGACTTCTCTCAGCTTTCATGCACACCAAGACGTGGGTCCATTTCATCATTTGAAGGAGAGGCCAAAAAGAAATGTAGAATGTCTGAGGACAGCTGTCAGCCCTTCTTCCCCTCTGTCCTCACTGAGCTGGGTTGGCTGAACAGGTAGCCTTACCTGGCAGAGTAAATGGTAACTGAAAGACGAAGGGATCTGCCCTGGGCACTGAGGCGAGAGGCTTAGGCTGGAACCAAAGTCCGTTCTTCACGTGGGACTGACTCCCTCAGCCTTCTTCCAGGGAGGGGTCAGGACTCCTCTGTGTTCCTCAACCTCTGATTCACTCACTTCCTTCCCCCAGAGTTCAAGGAGGCCTTCTCCCTCTTTGACAAGGACGGAGATGGCACTATCACCACCAAGGAGCTGGGGACGGTGATGAGATCCCTGGGACAGAACCCCACTGAAGCCGAGCTGCAGGACATGATCAATGAGGTGGACGCGGATGGTGAGGGCGCTGGGGAGCGGGTGGGCAGCCCCACTCTTGGTCACTGTGCCTCATGACTACAGGGAGCCTTCTTGTGGGTGATGGGTGAGCCAGCGTGCCCTCCACCAGGGCTCTGGCCCTCTCTCGGGCCAGTACTGTTCCCAACTCTCCCGCCTGCTCCCCAGGGAATGGGACCATTGACTTCCCAGAGTTCCTGACCATGATGGCCAGGAAGATGAAGGACACAGACAGTGAGGAGGAGATCCGAGAGGCATTCCGCGTCTTTGACAAGGTGAGCAGTCCTTGCCCGGAGCGGCTCTGGGACTCGGCAGAGACGCAGAACAGCCGGGGCCCCAGGATGCCTGGGTCCCAGCACCAGCCCCGCTGCCCCCCAGCTCTGCGACCTCAAGGCGCCCCCCTCCCCTGCCGAGTGAGGGTGGCCGCCAGTCCCTGCCCTGCTGCCTCTTTCCCACTACCCCCCAGGGAAGAACTGAGTGAAGGCCTTGAACTCAAAGCCTTTCTCTATCCCCCAACACCCAGGATGGCAACGGCTACATCAGCGCTGCAGAGCTGCGTCACGTCATGACGAACCTGGGCGAGAAGCTGACCGATGAGGAAGTGGATGAGATGATCAGAGAGGCCGACATCGACGGGGACGGCCAGGTCAATTATGAAGGTGAGCTCCCGGGGCTCTGTGGAGTAAGCGCCAGGGCCGCGGCTTGGGTAACCAGGCCCTGGGTCCCTCGGGTCAGGGGGGCTGCCCTCTGCTGACTTCCTCCCTGTTTCCTTCACAGAATTTGTACAGATGATGACCGCAAAGTGAAGGCCCCGGGCAGCTGGTGATGCCCATTCTCTTGATCTCTCTTCTCGCGCGCGCTCTCTTCGACACTCCCCTGCGTACCCCGGTTCTAGCAAACACCAGTTGGTTGACTGAGAATCTGATAAAGCAACAAAGGATTTGTCCCAAGCTGCATGATTGCTCTTTCTCCTTCCTTCTGGAGTCTCCTTCCATGCCCCCTCATCTCTTCCTTTTCCCTCCGCCCTTTCCATCCACTTCTCGCAAGGCCTGATGCATTCATGAGATGAACCTCCCCATTCCCCTTGGGAGCCTCTGCCCTCCTCCAGCCCGGGTGGCTCGCCTCCATTTTGATCTGCTTCCTTTCATTTGTCATCTTCTTTGGGGTGCTGGGGTGGCTGCCAGCCTTGTCCTGAGACCTGCCAGCAGGGCGGAGGCCCTCACCCAGGCAGAGGAGCATGCCTCTGGCTGTTGCATGTGATTGCGTGTGCAGATCCCAGCAGCCCTTTGGGGCAGGGCTGCCAAAAGGCATTCCAGAAGGACTGAGGGGGGTTGAAGAATTGTGGTGTTGTCTGGCTGTGGCCCAGAGACAGGGTCAGGGGCCCGGGCGTCTTGGAAGCTGACATTCTTCTACCACTTGAGGAAGCTGACTAAGAAGGGGACTGACCGAGTGGACTACACTCAGATCCCACAGGCTGCTATCCTGAAACCCTCGGGTTGGCTTCCTGAGGTTAGGCTGGGTGGGGGCTGCTCCACTGGCCACTCTGCGAATTGTACAGGCCCACGTTCCTAAGGCGGTCTCACGCTGTTCTGTAAATACCTGGTGCTAACATCCCGCGCTGCTCACTCATGACACACCTGCCCACCCGCACCGAGGGCTCCTCTTGGAACGGATGTTGGGATGGTCGCTTTGTAATGTTGTGGCTATCCTTTTATTCTCTCTTTATGCTCCTTAAAACTTTAATTTTGTCAAAACCATGCTGGGCTAACTGAAGGATGGGGAGAGGGAAGATGCGCCCCACCTCGCTCTGGAGAGAACACACCTGCAATAAAACAGTCTTGTCCGCTCGGCCCGCCCCTCCCACTTCTCTTCGTGGTGGCCCCTCCGCAGCCCCTCCATATCTGTGCTGTGCCCATGCCGCCTCTCCCCGCCTGTCCCCTCCCCCGCCTGCCTGCCCCCACACTCCCCCAGCGGAGAGCATGATCCGTGGCTTTGCTTCTGACTTTCGCCTCTGGGACAAGTCAATGTGGGCAGTTGGGTCGTCTGGACATTTTTTCTCCTTTTCTGTTGGTTTCATCGACCCCACCCACCCAGACTGATCAAGTGGCTTTTCCTGGGACCTGCCCAGCTTGGAGAATCTCTCCTCATCCACCCCCTGGCACCCAGCCTCCAGGAGGGAGGGGCAGGGCATAGTGGGAGACCCAGCCAAGAGCTGAGGGTGAGGGCAGGTAGGTGGGAGGCTGTGGACGTTTTTGGAGTGTTTTGGTTTCAGTTCTGTTTTGTTTTTTTAAACCGGGCAATATTGTGTTCAGTTCAAGCTGTGAAGAAAAATATATATCAATGTTTTCCAATAAAATACAGTGACTACCTGACTTGACTCTTCCCCTTGCCTCGGCCTTTGGGCTGCCCCCTTTCTGGGCCCCACGGCCCTGCCCTGGGAAAGCCTTTCCTCTGTGCTCTCAGAAGACTTGTCCTGCTGGCACAGCCTCGGCTTCGCAGGCTCCCCTCTGCCCCAGTGGGGTGCACGTGTGAGAAGCTAAGCCCACCCCTGGGACACGGTCTGTCACAGATAACTTCAAGACGAGAACTGAGAAGGCCTGAGGCAGGAGCATCCCAGCTGGGAGGGATGCGGCATGGAGCCCAGCGGTCACCCTGCTGTGCGGGGTCAGGGGGGGGCGGGTGGAGTCCTCCAAGGGAACAGTGGAAAGGCAGGGCCGAGGCCAGCTTGGGGGTTTGAAACGGTGCTCTAGGCAAGGGGTGGCTTTCACCGAACCAGCTGATGTTAGACAGGCAGCCTAAGTGTTTTGTGTGGTCCTGAGCTCTCCGAGCTTCAGTAGGTTCTGGCAGAGGGCACAGGACTTAGGAAGACTTGAAACCAAAAGCCCAAAACAATTGCAAACTCCAGGAAGCTCCTTAACTTCCCTGTGGTAAGTGGGGATTTGAGGAAGGTGCTAAAGAGAACTCAACAGAATCCTCAGGGGCTTTTCCCAAAATGTGCCCTGCCCCAGCTTCCAATCCCATCTGCCCCCCATTCAGGGGAATGAACAGATAACAGTGTTGAACTTCCGTGCTGCTCACCCTCAACCACAGTGGCTGGGAAGGAGCCAGAGACAGTTCAGTGGAATAAAACCTCCTTCTGCTCATCTTTACCTGGCCTCGGAAGGATGGAAAAGCCTGGCAGGGCCCAACCTCAGGCGCCTTCCTTGTGGCAGAGATGAGATGAGGCCTGGGCTGGATCTCCCTGGTGTCTACCAGTTGCAGAGCCTAGCACTGGGCAGGGAAGTCAGGAGCAGCAAGCCACTTCAGAGTGCCAGCCTCCATGCCCCCCTTTTCTGCCATCTGGTCACGGTTTGGCCTTTGGTACAGAAAAGATGGTAGAGCATAAGGAATAAGAGCCTGGTGTGGGGCCTGGAGCTGACCACAGGCTCTCACAGTTAACTGCCTCCATGGCTTCAGGCAGATGACCCTGTCTATATAATGGGGGTGTGGCACTTACCTCCAGGGACCTCAGGAGCTAGGCCTGGACAGTGAGCCTTGGCCAGTCTTTGTGGGGGCATCCTACTCCACAGGCTGTCTTCTCAGCCCTGCATCCACTATCTCCAATCCTTCAAGCAACCATTTGGGCTACATCCTGTTAGTATCCATTTTACAGACAAGGAAACAGGCCCAAAGAAGTGAAGAAACTGCCAGGGTTATTAAAGCAAAGTGGCAGAGCTAGAATTTGAACCAGGTCTGACTCCAAGGACTTTGTTTTCTCCACTGCCCAGCTTAGAGAAAATGATTGTTTAAAAAAAAAGACTGCAGGCAGGCCAGAGACAGAGCCTGTGGGAAGCCTGGGCTGAGTCTGGGGTCACGGCAGGCTAATCTGAAATGAGAGTGGCTCTCTGAGCTGCCAGGGTACCTATGGAAAGTTCTGGTCTAGCACTTTAGAGGAAGACAGGTTTTGGTGACCCACAAAATTGGGCTCCAAGCCCATGTGACCACTAGCTGCAGTGAGTCTGCCACTCACTAGGCCTCAGGGTCCACCTCTGCCACTTCCGACTTGCTAATCTTGGCGCAGTGACTTCACTTCTTTGGGCCTCAGTTCATCAGTCTGCAAAATGGAGAACAGTAACAATCTATAAAAGGAGTATCATAAAAATAACCACCTCAGAGGTCTGTGCCAAGCAATTCCTAGACATCATCTCATTTAATTCCTATGAAGGTCAGATTTGAGTCCTAATAAACTTGATTATGGTGTGCATGCTCTCTCGTGGGCATATAGGCATGAGGTAAGTTACTGAAATCTGACAGTAAAAGAATGGAGGCCGGGGCAGGAAAAGCCTCGTGCACCACAGTTGCTGGAAGCAGCTGAGCTGGGTCTCCAAAGCCCACATCACTGGGATTCCAGACACCCATGCTTTTAACCCCTGCGTCATGCTGCCTGCACTGCCATACGCCAATCATTATTTTTTCCCCTTGGGCCCTATGTTTCGAAAGACTTTTACTCCCAGACGCAGGCTGCATTATTAAATAATCATGGCCTGCTTCCCTTTCCCATTCTTTATTAATCAAAGACACATGAATGGCGCTCAGAGCTTCTAACGGACGCCGGGCGGACACTGAGGGAGCAGGCTGGCACAGAGCAGATGCTTGTGTGGGAATCGTTTCCCATCCAGGCTCACAGACCAGCTAGACTGGCTCAAAGCCTGTCTTAAGACGGTGACTAGAAAGGGACACACCGGGAGGTGCCCAAGCAGGGCCCACGTGAGGGAAATCCAGGTGCCCCCACTGGGGTACATCCAGGGTAGTGGTGCAGTCTAGGGCAGCAGCTCTGGGACCATCCTAAATGTCACTTCCAGTGTGACCAGCAGGTGGGGCAATGACTCCAGAAGGCCCAGGGCTGAACTGAGGACCAGCCAGGGTGTGAGTTGTGGGTCCCCTCTGCGCCAGGCCCAGCACTAGAAGTCACCAATGAATAAAGAAATGAAGTTAAAAATGAGTACATCTCACTGAGGGAGCAGGACCTGTTCCTAGTGTGTCGCTTCCTGATCCCCACCCTGGGTGAGGACATTTACCGCGTGTGTGTCAGAGATCCTTGCCCTGTGCTCTCAGTATATATCACAGACTGTGAATTTTGTACATTTGCTGCTGATTGGAATACATCTCTCTGTGATTATTAAATTGTTAGGCCACTGAATGAATTGTGAACAAGGCAGTGTCAGTCACTGCCATATCCACAGCAAGCACAGGGCAGCTCTTGGGCCCAAAGCAGGCTCAAGGGAATCTAGGTTGAATTAATAAGTGGACAAGAGGCTAAAGAAAGGAGGCAGTAGAGGCCAGAGTCAAAACTGTGAGTGTGACAGAAACATTCTTTTTTAGGCTCAATTTCTTCCAATCCTCAGTTCCTGCTTCAGCTATCCCCTCCTCTGAGAAGCCCTCCCTGATGTCCCCCTAGACTGTGCTCTGTCCCTGTCTCCCAGCTCTGCCCACTCCAAGCCCCAGGAGAGCAGGGCCAGGGCCGACTCTGTTACTGCCATGTCCCCAGCATCGCAGGGACAGAACCTGACAGACAGCAAGCCTTCAGTAAGAGCTGCTGAATGAATGAGCAAATGGCTGCTCTGCAGGCAGAGAAAGGATTTATGAAGTGTTCGAGGAGGAACGTTTTAATCAAGACCTCAATGGCCATGGGTGCTTTTGACAAACAGAGAAGGGGAAACACTGTTCCAGGAAGGGTGAGCTCAGTAAGCAAAGAGGTGGAGGCCCGATGGGTCACAGGCTTCGGGGGGAAACTCGGTGTCGCTGCGGCTGAACAGGGAGCGTGGGAGTTGGCCCTTGGCCTCCAGACAGTGGGAGATCTTGGAGCTTGGCCAGCAGGGTGTGACTGCTTAGGACCTTCTAGACAGCACCGCGGCAGCTAGCAGAGAGGACACACAGGCCATCGGGTCCAGGACACCGGCTGGGAGGTCGGAGGGTAGGGGGGTGGAGAGGTCGGGGGAGAGTGTCCAAGTCATCCTGGAGGGGCTGGGCTGCGGGGAGATGGAGCAGGAGTTGTTTGAGAACCTCTGATCTGGCAGACGGTGTAGACATCCAGGCCAGAAGCTGGGGGAGTGAGGGGGTCTGAGATTAAACAGTGGGATGCGCAGGAAGGGACTGATTTCTTGGGATGTTAGGCCTGGTGGGTAAAAACCAGCAGAAAACCAGCTTTGAAACTTAATCCTCTCTTCCCCTGAATGTGCGTCTGAAAAGCGGGAATGATGATAGCGCCCACTTCAAGCGTGGATGCTCTGGGCACCAACGCCCGGCCATGGGCTGCCATTCAGTGAGCCCTAAACAGTGGGGTGACAGAACTGACCCGCCAAAGGCGGCGGCTCAGAGAGAGGAGGCGAGGGCCCCTGGGGGGTCTTGTCTGGACAGGCAGGCCCCTCTTTCTGGGCTCCTGCAGACCCTCCACCCCCATCCCTTCTCCACCGCCCCCCAGAGGCCCTTTGGGGTCAGTTCCCACAGAGGCCAAGCCAAGTTTGGTGACAGCAGCTGGACCCCACCTTGTGTTTCTCGATCTGTTTGTTTTGGTTAAATATAACCAATATAAAATTACTCTGCTAAAAAAGGTTCTAAACACCCTTTTTTTTTTGGTATTACATGTTTTTTATTGTGGTACAATACCCATAACATAGAATTTCCCATTTTAAAGTATACAATTCACAGACATTTAGTATATTCACAATGTTGTACAACCACGATCTAGTTCCAGAACATTGTCATCCCCCCAGAAGGAAGCCCATGCCCATCGAACAGTCATCTTGACCTATTTTTAACTCATCCAGACACCCCTTGTTCTTTGTGATGTGATTTGAATCACAATGACTGAAAACAAAAGTCAAAACAATGGAGCAAAGCATTGCTTTTTCGAACCACGTTTGCCCAGAGAGCCAAAGACCATAGATAGCAAGGACGGCAGCGGCAATAACCGTACCATTCATCTACTGTGGGCTTTACTCCAGGCCCTGTGCTACATTGCTTTTCAGACCGTTTAATCCTCGCACAACTGTGTAAGCAAAATTGTAGGTTACAATCTCTGTTCTACACTCAAGGAAGCCAAGGCACAGAAAGGCAAAGCCACCAGCCAAACACACAAGCTGGGCGCTGGACATGGAAAGTAAGATCCATCAGCTCCACCCTCAAAACGAGCTTCCTCCTCACTGTGTGACCTGGAGCCAGTGATTGCCCCCTCTGGACCTTGATTCCAGCCTCCGTAGAAAGGCTTTAATAATAACTGGGGTGAGAGGGTGCACCAGGCATGGAGGGGGGCTCACCGATGTTAGCAGTCATTATCTTTCTAGGACGCCTCACCTACCTCACCCCTCCCAAGGTGCAGAATTATTAATGAGAAAGGGGAACTGGGTGGGGCTAGCAGCGGGTGGGGAGGAGGACTTTCCCATTCACCCACCACCCTAAGCATCACTTCCTTTCCTGCTGATTGGCTCACTCCCGGGTATCCTTGATTCTGGGCCTCTCTGAGCCCCAGCAATGGCAAGAAGGGTGAAGGGTTGGGGGCTGGAAATCACCCTGAGGTGGAACAGAGACTGGTCTGTGGCTCCAACACCTGGCACAGCCAGGGCGCACTATTTGTTGAGTGAACGAATGAAATTTCCCCACGGGCTCCAAGGACCCAGGAAGTGAAGGCAGGCTCCATAGGGAGGTGGGCCCAGGACTAGGACTGTGTCCCTGGCTGGTCCCTAGGATCCACACCTCCCACCTCTTCATCCTCCAGCTCCTCTATCTTCCCCTACCCGTGCCCCCATGGTCTTGCAGCCCGCCAGCCATGCTGTTTCCCAGTCACGTGCCCCAGCAGCATCACCCCCAGTGCGGTAGTCTCCCCTTCCTCCGCCCTCCCTCAGGGCCAGAGCTCCTGAGGCTGACAGGGAAGCAGAAGTGAGCAGGGCAGGGAGCTGGCCCAAAAAATCCCTGGTTCCCAGGAGGCAGACAGAGGGGTGCTGTAGGAGTGGCCTGGGAGAGGGCAGGGCCATCCCCTGGAGATTTGGGGTGAGCAGCCAGGACACCCCAAAGGGAGAAGCATCAGGGCTGGAACCCTAACCGGGGCAGACCTGTGTGCACAGAAGCCCTTGGGAACTTCTCCACCTTCTAAATATTTAGACAATGAGATGGATGGACAAGTGAAGGCTAGACCAGGCTGGCCAGGCCCCTGGGTATTTTGAGAGAACTGTTCTTTTTGTGCTCCAGGGTAAATGTTCCCTCTCTCCCTCCCTCTTCTCCCACAGCCTGTCTTGGCTGCCCTGAAGGAGAAGAAATAGCAGCTGATCACCCCTGAATTCAGGGGGTCAAGTTTCTGGCAGGCAAGGGCTCCGGGGTGCATCTCTACTTGTCCACCGGAAGCCACTCGCCATGCCCCGGACTGTCTGGCTCCCGACCCCAGAACACAACGCAGGATATCCTGGGCAGCTCAAGATGTCAGCAGAGGGGGCAGGCTGCTGAGGACCCCGCTTTGGACGGCACTCCCACGGTGCTGCCAGGTTGCTGTACCAGAGGCAGAGGAGCCCCCTGCCCCTCACCCCAGACTGGCAAAGGCACCCAGCTCCCCTCCTTCCCCCCAAGAGCAGGACTGGCCCTTGGATCCTTCCCCTCTGGGGCGGGCTGGGGCAGGGGGGTCTGCAAGTCGCTGCGGTCATCAGGCCTGGGGCACAGGCAGCAGAACCAGACCTTGAGCCGCTGGAAGATGGCCTTGCGGAAAAGAATGAAGACCCAGGGGTCCAGGATGGGATTGAAGGCGTTGAAGCGGAAAGCGAGGAGGTCCCCCATCTCACTGCCGTCCGGGGCGATGGCCTGGGTGAAGCCCCGGATCTAAGGGCAGGGCAAGGGCGTCAAGAACACCCCTGAGCTGCCTGCCCTCCACATACCCCCCCCCACCCTCTCTCCCCTCCTCCCATTGCCCATTGGAGGCGGCCTGTGGGAAGGGGAAGGAAATAAGATAAGATGAAAACTAAGAAAAATATGCATGGAGGAGGCAGAGGGAGAGAAAACCCCAGGAGATAGCCAGCGGTGCCCTGGAGACAGGGCGTGCGTGCGGGTGGATCCCAGGGCTGGGCCTGGGTGTGTCTCTCCATGGCTCCCAGCCTCTGAGTCATCTGTAACCCCCAAAAGGCTTGATGACCCTCAAATCTAGCCCAGCCCTTGCATTTTACAGAAAGAAGCATGGTGCCACAGCGCCAGGGGTCCGCCCGTATCCAATTTGCCAGAGGCAGGGTGAGCTCTCCTCCTGGAAAGGGGGTGGTTGGGGGGTTCAAAGGGTAGATGGAGGGTGGGGCTGGGTGGGAAGCAGGGAACAAAGTGGCAGCAGGGTGACCAGACTCCAAAATAGGAGGAGTCTGGGGTCCAGCCTGGCAGGGGACCCTGACCCTCATCTGTAAAAATAGTGACAGGACAGGAACTCTGTGCTGCATCTTGCTTATGGAGTGAGCACATAAGGTCATTTGCGAGACCATCTGAGAGAGGATTTGTGAATTGCTAAGCATGGGGGCGCATACAGTGAGTACCCAGTGAATGCCCAATGGATGTTATTTTTTTGTTACAGGGGTGGGAGAAAGTTGGGGGTGTTCAATGGCGGGGATCTGGAGACATGGGAGGGGGAGACAAGGGGCAGGAGGGGTCAAATGGGACAGAAGCAAATGGGAGAGACTCCCCAGAAAACTTGGGAGCTGTTTTCCAGTGGACAAAGCCTCTGACCTCTGAGTCTCAGTTTCCCCATCTGTGAAATGGGCACAACCAATGCAGGACCGAGCAGGGCACTGCCCTCCTCCCCGCTGCCCACCCCAGCTGCAGAGGGGACTCACTGTGAGCGGCAGGGAGCACACAGCCATGACGCCCGTCATGAGGGCCAGCAGGATCAGGTGGTCCACCTCATCCTCTCTGGCGCGGGGGCTGGGGGCCAGCGAGCCCTGATGGCGCCTCTGCTGGCGGTACATGTGGCAGAGGCTGAGGGTGACGGAACCATTACAGAAGACGATGGCGGCCACCAGCAGGGCCACAAGGCTGGCATAGGCCAGTGAGAAGGCACAGCCACCCAGCTGGGCGGACCTCATGCGGATGAAGCACCAGCTCCCCGGGCAGTACTGCTGGTGCTGGCCCAGACCCAGCAGGGGCAGCGAGCAGAAGAGGACGCAGAAGGCGTAGACAGCAGGCAGCGCCAGGCGGGCGCAGCGTGGCCCATCCAGCTGGGCGTAGAGGTAGGGGTGGCTGAGCGCCAGGCAGCGCTCCACGGCCATGGCGAAGAGGATGAGCGTGGAGGCCAGGCCGAAGAAGGTCATGGCAAAGGCGAAGGCATCACAGAGCGCAGGGCGGCCCCGGGCCAGGCCCAGCAGCGAGCTGTTGCGGGCGTAGGCCACGAACACTGCCGGGCTCAGGAAGCACGTGCCCAGTAGGTCGGTGACCGCCAGCCCAGTGACCAGCACAGTGAAGGCCGAGGGGCGGGACCGCCGCCGGGTCCCCAAGATGCCCAGCGCCAGCCCATTGCCCACCACACCCGCCACAAACATCAGCGTGCTGGTGGCCGGGCCTACCGAGTCCCGCACATAGGTGAGGTTCCGGCACGAGTCTGCCATCCCAGCCTCTGCCTGCCGCCTGGACTGTGGGTCCCAAGGGAGGGGAGGGGGTGAGGGGAGCCGGGTCTGCCCCTGAGGCCCACTCAGACACCCGCCAGCGCCCTCTGCATGGTCCTCACCACAGCTGGGGTCCCCCACTCAGCTCTCCATGTGTGCCTGTCCTCTTGTCGCCCTACGTTTCTTTCCTTTTCTGTCTGTCCCTCTGTCTGGTCCTTCCCTCTCTGTGGCGTGTCCCTGGCTCTTTCTGACCCTGCCTCTGTGTCTTGCAGTGTCTGTGTCCCTGTCCCCTCCCCGGCCCGGCCCCTCTGTCCCTCCCTCCCTCCCTTCGGGTCTCCCTCCTCACCTCACCTCTGCAGCCTCTCTCAGCCCCTCCTCTGTCCCCCGGCTCTGCTCAGCTGGGTCTTGGGTCCCGTTGCCTGTGTTTGTCTCCGTGTGTCAGCGTCTCCCTCCTCCCCTCCCTCCTCCCTCCCTTCCTACTCATCTTGCCTGCTAGCCCCAGCTTTTTCATTTCCTCTCTGTGCCCCGCCTTCCCTCCCCCTGCTTTCTCCAGAGGCCCCCTGTGCTCCCTCCCTCCCACCTTCCATGGCTGTTCGCTCTGTACCCCCTGCCCAGTACATCCCCCCCAGCTCTGCCCCTTCCCCTGCCCCCTCATGGTCCCCTCACTGAGCCACCTGCCACCAGGGCACACGCAGGCCTCTCTCTTCCTCCCTCCGCCCTCGCTCCCTGGTGGCCCTGGGTCAGCACACACAGAGTGCGGGGCTCACCGGTGGGGTCCAGGTTAGGACCTAAGAGGCACAGCTGACCAGTCCCCGAGGCTGTCTGGGGTGGCCTCTGGGATCTATTCTGGGCTCCCGGCCCCAAGGTTAGGACATTGCCCAGGGATTGAGAAATGACCAGGAAATTCCTCCCTGATGTAGTGTTTTCCAGGCACTACTGAGATTTCTGTTCCCTGGACACAATTTGCTCCTTCCAGAATGCTGGGGAAGGAGGTGGCTGGGCCAGAGAAAAAACGCCAGTCCCTGGAGCCCGTCCTCGCACTCCCAGCTCACAAGCGCCCCCACTGCCCTGGGAAGAGGCTGTGGAGCTGAAGGCCTTGGCCTTCAGTGGGGTGGCGGCTGGGGAGAGGTCCCGCGACTTCTAGGCTAATATCAGAGGAGCGCATCCTCCCGCCCTCTCACTTCTCACCCCAGCACTCCAGGGGCTCCAGGCCAGCTCTGGCGACCTTGATTCCAGGAATAATATTTTGGCCCGGGACAGCGGCCCAGGGCTCCAGCAAGGCTGTCAGGTTGATGTCTCCCACCCCTCCCCTAACACGCCCCCAGCTGCCACCCCACCCCCAGGCCAGTGCAGTCAGCCTGCACACGCCCACTGCTGGCACAACAGCCACCAGGCCCCAGGCCCCTGAGTCCCTGAGCTCCTGGCTTCCCGTGCAGCTTCCCAGGCCATTAGGGCCAGAAGGGACCTCCAAGACTCTCTCAGAAACCCCTTATTCTTCACGGAGGCAGGGCAAGTGTAGAGATCACAAACTCAGGCCTCACGCCATTTGATTCGAGCTCCTGTCCTCACGCAACCACCTCCTTGCGCTGATCCCGGCAGGACAGGAAGCCGACATATCTCGGTTTCCTCATCTGTACAATGGGCTGCCTTCAGCTTCGTGGGCCTGCCCAGGGCCCCCTTTGTAACATGGAGAGAGCCTGTTTAATGTCGTATCATTTACAAGGCCAGGAGGGCTGCCCCTGGCCTGAAGCCGGACACCGGGCAGCTGCAGACTTCCCCTCTCTGCCCTCACACCCCACAGTGACCACACCTCCTTGTCCCTTCTCCCCCCACCTCTGTTTCCCTATCACCCATGCCCAGATGGCATCCCCAGCTTCCGTCAGGATGGATGCCCCAGCTTCAGCCACACCAGGGTGTCCAAGAGTGACCACACAGCCTGGCTCTGGGGGTGTCTGTGTGTGCAAGTCTTGGGTCTCCTGGCCACGGGCCCCCACCCCCTTGCTCTGCAGGCCCCAGGCAGACCAGAGGGAATGCAGGAAGTTATATCATATTAATGAAGGATGATGCCTGGCAGACTTGCATCCTGTCTCAGCATCAGCAGAGTTGTGGGGTGGGGGTGGGGGTAGCTCTGGTTCCCAGAGCCTCCTACCCCCTGACTTCCTGTCCCCACCAAGGACTGTTGAACATTCAGGAAGTCCTCTGTGCTTCTATGCCTGGTGGGGCCTTAGACAAGCCCCTGCCACCCTCCAGGCCTCAGTTTCTCTACTCATGCCACTGAGGGCCAGGAGCCCCTGCAGCCCTGGGCTCACTTCTGTGCTCTGGAGTGTCAGTGACTGTAATGAAAAGAACAAGGGTCCCTAGGGTCCACGTCAGTGCCAGACACTATGCCACTCACCTTCCATGGACCCAGCCAGGGCTGCAGGGCAAGCCCACAGCTAGGGCTACAAAGGGTTCCTCTTCCATCCAGATTCCTTGGGGTGGGAGGCCACCCCAGATGGGCTATGGGGAGGTGGCTTCCGGGGTCTGTGGGAAGGACCTGCTCTGGGTGGGTGAGTTAACAGCTCACCCCCTCCACCTACTGCTAGGAGCAGATCCTGCCCAGAGGACCATGGGCCAGTGGGCAGCAGAAGAACAGTCCAGAGACAACTGGAAATGGACACCCAGCACCTAGGAGGCAAGGGAGATGGGCACCCAGGAGGGTGGTTGCAAGGGACTGTAGACATGTGAACTTCATGTGTGGTCTGTGTGAAACTGTTGGGGTCTGTGTGTTTGAATGAGCATTTCATTAGCACGGTGAGTGACTCTGTGTGTGTGTGTGTGTGTGTGTGTGTGTGTGTGTGTGTGTGTGTGTGTGTGTGGCAGTAGGTAGGCATTATTTTCTCTAAGGTCTATTTGTGCATCTGTGTCTATTGGTGCATCTGTGTGGGTCTGTTTATTTCAGGCTCATGTGTTTCTTTATGCCCGTACCTCTCCATGTGTGCTTGAATGTGGAGCAGCTGCCTGCTTAGTGGGAAGAGAAGGTTTGGAAGCTCACCTCCACCACTCACTTGTCACTGGCTGTGTGATGCTAGAAAACAGCTTGTAGCTAAGCCTTAATGTTCATCAAATGGCTATCTTGCACTTGTTGGGGTGTTGGGCGAAGATAAGAGACGAAACTCACCCCGCCTGCCTCTACACAGCCCTCAAATAGCTGCTGGTATTACTATTCATTCAACAAACTCTAACCCTCTTACTGTATGCCAAGTGCTGGGGATGCAGAGGGGCTGAGATGGATGGATGGCATGGATGCAGGTGTGTTCCCAAATGGCATGGGACAAGTGACAGCAGACATGGTGAGAGCCGGAGCCCGGGCAGGCAGGCCCTCCACTGAGTCATTCCACACCCACGGGCCTCTCCCATGCCTGCCGACCGGCCATCCAGCTGCCTGCCCAGGCCTGCATCTGGACCTGCCGCTGACCCGAGATCCCAGCCTGCCCTGGGCCTGACCCTCTCCTGACTCCTGGTTTCCGTCCTCCAGGCCCTGCTCTGGGAAAAGGCCAGCCCTGCTTCATAACCTCCACCCAAGTGCCACCAGCTGCTGGTTCCCGCCAAGCCTGACCGTCGGGTATGACCGTCTGAGAAGCTGCCTTGTGTCCATCCTGACCTGTCCCTCCTTGGCAGCGACCAGTACCTACAGCCAGAGGCCATTTTTCTCTGCCCACCACCCTTTTCTCCACCCCAAAGTGGCTCTTGTCTACCTAATGGGCTCTACTTCTCACCTCTGCTTCAAGAGGCTCTACCCTGTCATCCCTGCCCTGCTTTTGTGTGGGCTGTGCCCCTCAGCTGGGACACCCTCACTTCTGTCCTCCAAGCCCCCCAGAAAACCTCTAGCCCCTTCTGAGCACTCACCCACTGACTCCACTGGCCATGTGATGTCACCCCTCCGTACCTCTTTTTCATGTCTGTAAAATGGGGATACATGGTCCTGTGGGGGCTATCGGAGTATTAAGTGAGATGGGGCGGTGCTGGCCACGGCTCTGGCTCATTCTCCCTTTGGGCTAGCCTCCCCCAGGCCCCTTCCAGGAGGTAGGCACAGCTCTGAGCATGTGGGTGCAGATGTGAGGAAGGCACCCTGGGAGGGGCATCCAGCAGCCCTCAGGATCCGGGGTGAAGTGGGGGGCTGCTAAGAGCAAGCACTTCCCAAGGCACTCACTGCTCTGCCTCTTGGCCTGGCCGTGACCCCAGAGCTGACCTCACAGCTAGGGGCTGAAAGAGCAGTGGATGACCAGAAGCTGTTGCTGCAGAATCATCTCCACTAACAAGATTACCCAGGTTTGCCTGCTGGAGGCTGGTCACCGGGGACCTGCCCCGTCCCTTCTGGCTTCTCTTCCTCCCCAGCCTCAGTTGTGACCAACATTGGGTCCAGGCTCACCCAGTCCTCTCACTCCTTCCCCTCCTCCTCCTCCAGGCAGATCTCTGGTCCCACCTGCTCTCCCTTCCCTACACCAGGTGAGCCAGCCCTGCTTGCTTCATCTCACTTTCCACTCCAGAGACCAGGCATGTGAAGGAGGAAGGTTGGGCGCCTGACAAGATCCCAGGGCTGAAAGGGTCTAAACCCCAACAGTCCAGGCTCAGGACATCCTCACACTCATGAGGTGCAAGCTTTGGCTTCTAGCTGGACAGCAGTGCAGGACCCCCAGAGTCATGTCCCACAAGGGTGAAGGTCTCCAGAATTCTAGCCCTCCAAGGCTTTGGGATTCTAGATTCCTTTGCATTTCAGGTTCGAAGATACAAGAATGCTGGGTCTGAGAAACTCCAGAATCCTTCTGGCAACTTCCCTCCCAGCATCCTTCCTCCCCACCCCAGCTCATCCTTGGCTCTCTCTGTCCCCTGTCTCCCCTGGGGCTCCCACAGACATGATGCAACCAGGCCGGAGCCAGCTGAGAGGTGGGAGGCAGGAGGGAGATGTAATTACAGCCGTTCCTGCCTCAATCCGACAGGAAGCTCAGAGTTGGGGCCCAGGGGACCCTAATCCGATGTGAATAATGGAGCACTTGCCCAATGCGTGCATGCCACCCCCACCCCCGGGAAGGAAGGCCAGTGAGCCATCTCCCTCCAGATAGAGGGGTCCAGCCCCCCCTCGGTCCCAATCTGGGGAGCAAGGACAGTGGGGGGTGAGGAGAGAGGAGAGGGTCTCAAACCAAGTGGTCCTGGGGCCAACCAGGTACAATAATTAACCAAAACTATAGCTCATCCAGCATGCATTTCCTCATTTTCAACCCACATTCCTAGAGATTTCACCTCTCCCCAAGGCAAACTCCATGGTAAATGGCAACTAAGCCCCAGCCTCCTGGGAGACAGGGCATGGTGGGGACCTTGGCGAGCTAGAAAGCCCCAGTCCTATCTCACTGTCTACTGTCACCCTGCAGGATCGTCACCAGACCTTCCACTTCATGAGAAGCTGGAAATACGGACTTTTAAGTGAAGTACTCCTATTTTTTGATGTGGCAACCAAGTCAAGAACATTTTTAAACATTATGTAGGCCAAAAGTGGAAAGCCAGAAAATACATAACTGCAAGCTATGTATGTTCTGCAGCCACCTCTGGGTGCAGTGGGAAAAAGGGCAGGACCCCGAGCTACCACCCATCACCCCTGTGTTCCAGAGCAAAGAAAGTGTTGAAAAAAGGAATGTACGCATTAATTTGTATCCTGTCCCCCTAGGCATGCTTCTCTCACCTCCCGGTCCCCAAGTTTTATTATTAGTACCCTGTCCCAGCTCAGATGTCCCTGCCCCTGGAAGCTTTCTGTGACCCCCCAAACTAAGTCAAGGAAGTCCCTCTGAACTCCCGCACAACATACTCTGGGGAGTCATTATCTGGGGGCAGGTCTGTGTCTACCCTGGATTCTGAGCCCCAGGAGAGAAGGGCTAACTTGGTCACAGCCACGTCCCCAGCTTCACCCAGCAGTGCTTAGGGAATGAACAAATGAATGAATGCATGAACACAGTTCAGTGCTCAGGGACAGAGGCAGGCCTGTGGCAAGGAGGTAGCCAGATGTGAAAAGGGGGAGCAGAGCCATTCAGAGCACGAGGCAGGTGGGCTGTACAGGGGCCCCCAAGACTCTCTCCATCCCAGAAAGGAGAGGAGAGAGGCCAGCGGAGGACTTCAGGGTCACTGAAGTCCACAGTCTTCACCCCATGACCTCCTGGCTGTGTGACTTTGAGTCAGGGACCTCCTTTGCTCAGTTTCCTCATCTGTAAAATGGCTATTAGACAGCTGCCTTCTATTGGGACGATTAAACAAATGTGGGACTGTGCAGCGCTTGGGGAAGGCAACAGCCAGGGGTGCTCCCTTCCTCCTGCATCCACACCGCCACCCCCACTCAGAAGGGATGAGAAGGGACACAGGCTCCCCCACGACAGCCCCGAACTCTGCACGTGCCTCAGTTTCCCCAAAACCACAGGTACCACCACAGTCACCAGGTTTATTGGATTCATACTTTGACAGGGGTGGGTAAGCTGTCGGGAAGGCTCAGAGCAGGACGCAAAAGAGGCGCTTGTCGCGGAATGGGTTCTCTGCGGCGGGTACCGGCGTCACCAGCGGGTCGTCTTTGGCGTGCGTTTCGCAGAAGGCCAGGAGCTCGGCCGCAGCCTGCGACACCTGCGGGCGCGGGTGGTGTCCACGCCCCGCCCCCTGGCACCGCCCCTGCAGGCTCCGGTCCCTTGAGGCCCCGCCCAGGGTCCCTCCCGGGTCCCGCCCTGTTCCGAAGGGGACCCTCCCACTGCGGCTGCGGGCCTCACCCCAACACCGCCCCGCGCAAACCCCGGCCCCGAACCCGCGCCTTCCTCCCCGCCTCGACCCGGCACCTTCATGCGATCGATGTTCACCTCCAGCTTCAGTTGTTCCACCGTCTTGCGGGCCTCCGCGATCTTGGCCATGTTGTTGGACATGGCTGCGGCGGGGAAGGGGTTAAAAGCCGGGCGGGAGCTGGGCAGACGCGTAGGCTGGGGCAAGTCTGGGTCCCCAGGTGGTGCGGGTGGCGGTGGGACCCAGCAACAGGGGCGTGGGTTGATGGGAGCACGAATTGGGTGGCCAGAGACAGATGGATGGAGGGCCAGGAAAACACAGGGAAGGGAGAGGAAGAGACGCGCCGATGGGGGTAACCCAGAGGCAGGCCGAAGGAGGGCCAAATGCGCGGGGAGGAGAGGGGCGAGAGAAGGGAGGCGGGGGCACACAGAGGCCGGTGGGGGGGAGGCCAGAGAGGGGCCAGGGAAGGCTGGAGGGAAGCACGGATGGGAGGCTGAGGGGCAGGTGGAGGGAGGGACAGAAGGACAGGGCCACAGGTGCTGGATCAGGGTGCAGGTGTCCTCAGACTCCGGGGACAGAGCGGGAGCCAGGAGGGGGCCCTCCCCAGGCCAATTAGCGGCGCTCCGGGGAGAGCCAAGAATTAAGATCGCGGCGGGAAGGACGCAGAGGGGGCCTCATTAGGGCCGTGGCAGCAGCTGCCCCCTCCGCCCCCCTCAGGGAGCTCCACCACCCAGCCCCGGCCACCTCAAAGGCTCCTCTGCTCATTAGCAGCCGGGGAGTGGGGGGGGGGCAACCCAGCCAAGGCTGGCAGCGGGGCGGAGGATGGGGAGAAGGACAGGTGGAGGGGCGGAGGGAAAGACAGAGTGACAGAAGGAGAGACTGAGGCAGGGGGCGAATAAAGAGACTGACGGGAAGAAGAGGGGACAGCATGGAGAGGTCGAGAGGGAAGGTCAGGAGAGGGTACAGAAAGGGACAGATTGCCATGGGGCAGAGAGGCACAGAGGGGACAACAGGACAGAGGGGAAGACAGAAGGGGACATGGAGTGACCGCGAGGGATGGAGTGCTGAGGGTGGGAGAGGACTCAGAAAGGAACGAATGGATGGAGAGGGACGGACGGAGACAGAGGGTGCAGGGCAGGACAAAGGGTCAGAGGAGTGAATAGTCGGGGGACAAAGAGGGAGATGAAGGGGGTGCGGGAGACGGGCTGGGGAAATCATTCATTCACTCCCTCATTCATGGGTTCCCGGGCGGACAGACTGTGGCGGGGATGGGGCAGGGGGCCGGCTGCCAGGGCCAGGACAGGGGCCTCCTACCTGTTGCTGCTCGTGGCTGGGATGGCGGGCGGCGGAGACCAGGAGACAGCGTCCGGGCCCCCCAGCCCAGCCCCGCCCCCTCCCCTGGGGCGCAGCCCCTGCGGACCGCCTCCTCCTGCCGCCGCCGCCATCCCCGCCGCCCCACTGCCCTGGGTCTGTCACTCCGGTCCTCTCCTAGACTGTTCGCCCCCGTCTTTGTCTGCCTGTTTCTGTATCTCTGACGCTTCTGTTCACTGTCTCTTTCCCTCCCTCTATCTCTCTCCCAGTCTCCCTTCTCAATCTCTGTCTCTGTCTCTCACACACTCACACAGAAAAAGACAGTCTCCTCAAGGTGTGCCCACATCCTGCTGCATTTATCCCACATCACTCCAATCTCTCCTGTGTGCCCCGCACAGCCTCTCACCCCATCATACATGCTCTCCTATCCTGCCGCACCCACCACCTCAGTGACACCCCATCACAGATGACCCCTATCGGCACACAGACTCAGCTTGCACAGAGATGCACGATATCTCACTGTGTCACACAGCATTGCCACACAGTCTCAGGAATGACTTGTGCTCACCACACAGTCCCCCACAGTGCCATGGTCACACGGTCTGCCACCCACAGTCCCTCACAACCTCTCCTAGCGTAGCACGTCATCACCAATGACATCTCTCACAACCGCAGACTATCTCAGAGTGTCACATGTATAAACAGAGTTTTGCACAGTGTCACACACAGTCTCTCAAGATGTCACATGCACTCACGGGCAATTGAAACTTCTTGCTGCTTCACACACATTTTTTCAGTGTCTCACATGGTGACATGTAATTAGTTGCACAGCTGCTTTGTCAAGCAGTATCACACAATATTTTATAGTGTCACACCCAGTGACCCCACAGTCACACTCATTCTTGCACAATCTCCCAGTGTCACACATGCTCTTAGACACAATTTGCTCACCCACAGTCACCCAGAGTCTGTCCCCTGCATGGGCTGTCGTGTACAGAATCTCTTGCTGAGCCTCATGCAGTCCGTACCACACACAGCTGTCGCCCTCACAACAGCAACCTCCCAGTGTTGCACACTTACACACTCAGGCTCTCTCATTTGCTCATCCCTGAATGCCCTGCACTCTCTCAGGCACTGTCACAACACCGTGCCATTCTCTTAATCTCTCATACAACCTGTGTCACAAAGTCACGTGCAGTTCTTCAGTGTGGCTCAGTCTCTCTGTCACACCAAGGACCTTTGGGCCTCTCCCACTGCCTTCTCACTCCATCTCCTGGTGTGTCGAACACATTCAGGCTCACCCCCTGTCACACATTGCCTGCCAGAGTGACACACACCGTGCTCGTGTCCTCACCATGTTGCACACTGTCACACGTAATCTCTCTTTCCCACATATGGTCTCTCAATGTTCTAATCCTCCAAATAGTGTATCAGGCACCCCCAACCTCACGATGTCACACACGATCACTTTCAGGTAATCTCTACCATCTCACGGACAGTCACACACCTCTCCATGTAACATACCATTTTATCGCCACCCCTAATCTCTGGTTGTCACACAAAACCTCACAAGGTCACACAGCCACACCCAACCTCAGGCGTCACGCACAACCTCACAGTAGTACACTCTCACACAGACTCTTGGCGTCACACGCCATCTTTCGGTGTCACCCACGGTCCTCCAGTGTTGCTCCTGCCCTGGGCACACCCCCGCGGGTGAGCACAGAGCGGGCATCTCCTGGCCGCCCCGACGGCCACACGGGGGCGCCCGCGGCCCGCCGAGCCACCCACCCCGCCGGCGCCTCAGCCGCAGGAGGCGGTGGAAACCCGCGGGCTGGGAACACTGACACGGTAGGGACCGAGATAGACAGGTAGAGAGAATTGCAGAGACTGAGACGCAGAGACATGCGGGGTACAGGAGAGATACACAGACGGGAGTGTAGAGTCAGAGACAGGGACCGAGAAACAGACTCGCAGAGACCCAGACGGAGGCGGACATGCAGCAGCAACGTTAGACCGCCCTCCCACCCGGACAGGGGCGGAGGCGGGGCCTGCAGAGGAGCGCCCCAGGGGCGGGGCCTGCAGAGGAGCATCCCAGGGGCGGGGCCTCGGGCCTTCGAAGGGGCTGTCGGGGCGGGGCCGTAAGGAGCGGTGTCTGGGTGGGCGGGGCAGGTGGGCGTGTCTTGAGACTCAATTCGGCCGAGCCACCGGAGCAGGCTGCGGGAGGGGCGGAGGGGCGGAGGGACGGAGGGGGGAGCCCACGGAGGAGGTGGGGGTGGGGGAGGAGCGTCTCTACCTCAACCAGCCCTTCCCAGTAGGATTTTACCGCCCCGACCGAGAAGCGAGGGGGGTCGGGAGGGGGACGCTAGCCCGGGTCCATGGCAGCGATTTGATGGCGGGGTAACGGACCCTGGCTCTCCTCCCCCTCCCACGCGGGAGCAGCGGGGCCAGGTGGAGGAGGGGCATCAGGCCCACATCTGGAAAGCATCAGGCGCTCCGGACGTTCCAGGGCCCCGGGCCCGGCTGCGGAAGGCGGAAGGGGAGCTAGGGCGCCCTGGGCCCCCCCAGCGGTGTCTGCCGGCGCCGGGGAGGAGCCTGGGCGTGCGCTGGGCCTCGGCGCCTCCCGCAGCTGGTTTCCATCAGCAGTTTTGGCCCGGGCAGCCCCCGTGGAGAAAACCCAGCTTAGAGCGGGGGAAGACAGGGTGAAGACCCGATTGCCCCTCTCCCCCTCCCCAACGGCGGCCAGAGGCTGGGGGGCGCCGGAGACGGACAGACGGGCTCCGTCTGAACCGAGCATAACCTGTAACTCCGTTTCTCTCCCAAGCTCCGAACCTCAGCCATCCTTGCAGCCGACCCAAAACTTTAGTATCCAGGTGTGCGCGCCTACCCTGGGCTTCCACAGGACTCGCCCAGCCTCACGACAGCCTAGTAGTCAGTGATATTGTCCCCATTTTTTTGGAGGGGGAAAATGAGACCCTGATTCGGATTCAGTGCTGGCTTTAATTATTCAAGAACTGTGCAATGAACGCCAACAGTAATTGTAGGATCAGCCCAATCACCTACTCTGTTCCCACCTGGATGTCTGGTGGGTGATTCAAACTCAACGCATCTAGAGCTGAGCCCGATTCCACCGCCAAACCCACTCCTACTGCAGCTCTATCCACCTCGGTAGGTAGTAAGTCTCTGGGGTCATTCTTGACTCCCCTTGCTCTCTCACCCCGCATCTGATCTAGTAAGAAATTCCATTAACTCCATCTTCAAAGTCTTTCCATAATCTAGTCAGTGCTCACCTCCTCTGTGGCTCCCACTCTGGCCCAGCCACCATGCCCTCCTGTTTGGACTATTTCAGTCGCCTCTCACTGGGTTCCCAGCTTCTACCTCGGCCTCCCTCCTCCTGGGCCCCACAGAGCAGCCAGAGAGACCTTGTTTGAAATGAAGTGCCCAGATAATAGCAAGTGTTAATGAGGATGTGAAGACATTGAAACCCTCATATACTGCAGGTAGGAATGTAAAACAGTGCAGGCACTTCAGGCGAGTCTGGCAGTTCCTTGAAAGGTTAAACTGAGCATATGACCCAGCAACTACACTCCTAGGTATCTGTCCAAGAGAAATGAAAACCTATGTCCCCACAAAAACTTGCAGATGAATGTTCACAGGAGCATTATTCACAACAACCCAATAGTGGAAACCCAAATGTCCATCAGCTGATGAATGGATAAATAAAATGTGGTGTATCCAGTCAATGGAATACCATTTTGCAATAAAAAGAAATGAACCACTGATTCATGCCACAACGTGGATGAACTTTGAAAGCATGCTAAGTGAAAAACACCAGTCACAAAAGGCCACATATTGTATGATTCCATTTGTGTGAAATGTCCAGAGCAGGCCAATATGTGGAGGCAATGGTAGATTAGTTGTTGCCAGGGGGCTGGAGATATTGGAGGGTGACAGCTAAGAGGTGCAGTTTCTTTTGGGAGTGATAGAAATATTCTGAAATTAACTGTGGTGCTAGTTGCACAACTCTGTGAATACAATAAAACCATTGGAGTCTGTATATGGGTGAATTTTGTGGTATGTGCATTATATCTCAATAGAACAATTAACCCTTCCATTCCTTCCCCCTCCCCCTATAAAACCTAAGTCCCTCTACTGCTCAGAATTCTCCCATGGCTCCCACCTCCCTCAGAATAAAAACCAAAATCCTCACCATGGCCCCACAAGGCCCCACAATGTGATAGACCCTACCATTCTCTGCCCTCACCTCCCCCACTCTCCCCCTCACTCCTGCTACTCCAGCCAGGCTGGACTCCTAGCTGTTTTGCCAACACCTCCAGCACTGTTTTGGCCTCAGGCCCTTTGCACTGGCTGACCCCTCTGCCTGGAATGTTCTTTCCCAAGAAATCCACAGTCTCAGTCCCCCACCACCTTCAGGTATCTGTTCAAATGTAACCTTCTCAATTAGACCACCCTGGATCACTCTACTTAAAATTACAGACTCCTCAATCCCACCCAACCCCTCATATCTCTGCTCACTTTTTCCCCATAGTCCTTATCACCTTAAAAATATATATATAGTATTTATCTTGTCAACAATCCTCCCCTATCCCTGTGAACAGTTTCTTGGGTATCCTTCTACAGATAATCCATATGGCAAATAGGCTATGTAGGACAGTGGTTAAGAGCATGGACTCTTTGACAGCCTGAATTTAAATTCTGGCTTTGCTGATCATTAGCTTCACTGTGTAGCTTTGGTGTCCCATCCCCCTTTCTGGCTTCAGTTGCCTCTTTTAGGGAATGGAGTTGGGGCAAATAATCCCAAGGGTCTGACAAACAATGGCTTTTTCTAGCAAACTTTTAAAAATAACTTTTATTTATTGTTGCTGTAAAAGAAGTATATGTTCATCCATACACACACACACACACACACACACACACACACACACACACCACTAGAATGGAAGCCTCAGAGGACAGGGCCTCTTTTCCTGTTGCTCCTTGCTGTTTCCCTAGAGCCTGAGTGGGTACTGGAGATACAGGTGAGCAGAGCAGACTTGGTCCCACCTTTCTAAGAGCTCAAAATGACACAAGGTGGATCCACGCATATAGGCCAAAGCAGCAAGAAATCTCCATTCTTTAGACTGTGGTGTCAGATGGGGGTTGGGTCCTAGCCCTCCCTCCCTCCTTCTTGCTGTGTGACCAGGGCAAGTAATGGTCCCTCTCCAAGCTTCTATTTACCATCTATGAAATTAGTATAATCACTGGGATTACCCAATAGAAAAATGGGCAAAGGGTATGAACAGGCAATTCACAGAATTACAAGTGAACCAATAAGTTTGGTTATCATCACATATGAATGATGTGTTGCCACAAGGAAATAGGCAGGGAGAAACACTAATTAAAACAGAAAACAATCTTTTCCCCATAAGATAGGCAAAATGAAAATGCTTAATAACATCTGTTGTTTGGTGAAGGAGTGGAAAATGGGCATCTCAGAAATTGCTGTTGGAAATGTCAATTGAGGGCAGTCTTAGTGGAAGAATATGTGGCAGTGTCCATTCAAGGTTTTTAAATGAGGATACTATAGCGACCAATTATATTTCCAGTTGTGGATCCTACAGAAATAGATACATACATGCACATAGAGGCAGTAAAGGGCATTACCTCAGGAAGGGCCATAAGAGCACGGGAATTGAAGATAGGGGCTAGATTATGGGACTTCACACATGGAATCTTCTACAGCTACTAACAATACAAAGATAGGAAAATATGTCATCTAAATTTAGATGAAATGGACACATTCCAAGAAGAATACAACTTAGTAAAAATGACACAGGAAGAAATAGGAAAGCTAAGTCATACTGTAACAACTGAAGGAATCCAATTCTTACTAAAATCTTTCTCATAAAGAAATCTCAGGCGAGATGACTTAATAACAAAAAAGAATGATAAACAATGCATACATTATAGTTCAATTTGTATATGTAAATACAGTTTTACATGTATATAGCACTATATGTATATGCATTATATATGTATTTATATAGTTACTTAGATTAGTATGTGTATGTAAATACATAAAGGAAAATATGCAAGGATGCACACCAAACTGATTACGATGACTTCCAAGAGAAGGGATCGCTCCTGTCCCTTCACCTATATTATTTCCATTTCTCTGAAACCATATTTATGACTGAACAAAACTCAGCCCTGGGTCAGATTCATCTAAGTAACATGGTCAATGGTAGGAAAGTGATGTAGAGACCCACTTGGGATCTGCCATCTGGCTCTGGACACTACCATATCCAAAGCAAATAGTAGTTCCTCGGTAAGTGGCAGTCCAAAGGAAAAGCATTTCTCACATTTTACCACAGAAGAAGAGCCCAACACATATGTACCCTTGTGCATTTATTTACAAAGAGGTTAGCGAAACACACAGAATCTGGCCCCCCTGTGCACTGGGGAGTCACCATCGTCATAATAAATACAGTGATTTTTTAAAAAGAAAAAAAAATACTGGATTGGAACAGCTGGGGTCATCCTGGGCTCCCCCCACTCCCTCTCTCATGGCGGGGACATGAGATAGCCATCTTCCTTCCTTCTTCTACCTCCCAATCCTCCAATTTGTCCATAGACAGAGGTAAAATAATCTTTCTTGCCTGGTGTTAACTCCTATTTGACCCTCAAAACCCCAAAGTCAGTGCTCCTTCCCTTCCCAGGGCACTCTGCAGGCACCATCTGGGTCAGACAGAGAGTCTCAGACTGATGTTAAGAGGATATCCTAAGGATCCAGGAACTTGGAGAGGGGCACTTTGTGAATGGTTCGTGGGTGGGGGCATATCTAGGCATGGAAAGGAGGAATAAGAGCATCGGTGTAAGAAGTGAAGGGGAACAAACAGACTGAGTGCCTAAACTAAAATGGGGAAATTCAAATTGATTACCCCTCCTGCATACCATAGTACACGCATAGTATAGATGAGGGAAGTCAGGCCCAGAGAAAGTGAACTTTCTTGCCCAAGGGTTGCACAGCCAGCAGCTGAACTGAGCCAAACAGGCTCCTCCCCCATTCCTCCCTATGGTGGAGGGGGAGCCTTTTCAACCAAGACTGCAGTGGATGGGCGGCAGTGAGGAAGGGTCTTTGGAAGCAGAGAAAATGGTGGTCTTTGGAAGGGAGGTGTGGAAGGGTCAGTGATTGGGAGTGTGGTGGTGCAGAGGCCATGAAGGGGAAGCCCAAGCAAACCCCCAAACTCACACTGTAGTCATGACTTTGAGTGAACCCGAACGGAAACGCAGTATCTTCTTCTTGAGCGCGTGGGAAGCCTTGATCTTCACAAAGACTTTGGCGGGACCCGCGGGCGCCCCTCCACCTGCACCACCCCCTGCCCCAGAGGCCGCGGTAGCTGCCACCAGCTGCTGAGGCCACACGAGGCCACCACTGCCGTCTGAGTCGCTGGATGCGGAGCTGAAGGCAGGCGATTCCCCCTCGCTGGCGCTCGATTCACTCTCCCCGTAGCCTCCGCCAACGACGCCTGTAGGCCCCCGGCGTCCAAGGGGCCCCAGGCGCCCAGCCGAGCACTCCGAGTCGCTGCCCGCACAGCCGTAGAGCAAACGGCGCTGAGGAGCTGACGGGGATGGGCCAGGACCCGGACCACGGGCAGCCGGGGCGCGGGGACGGCCGCGGCGCCCATCCGCAGCGTCGATTTCGGCGGTGGAGCGCCAGCGACGGCAGGACCCCGCGGCCTGGGCCGCGAGCGTGGGCGCGGGACCGCGGCGGGGCCGGGGTGGCCGAGGCTCTTCCCGTTCAGCCGTTGGGTACTTGGGGGGCCCCGGAGGAACTGCGGCCGCGCGGCCCAGCAGGCTGGTCTCGGACTGCGAGCGCGCGGCCTTGCGAGCCCTGGGTGAGCCCCGACGGCCCGACGCCTCGGCCATGCGTCCGCGGCGGCCCGCGGCCCGGGGACGCTCGCGGGGTGGGGACTGCTCCACACTGCGGCCACGGGTCAGTGGTGGCGCCTTGCGGCGCGCCGCGCGGCCAGGAAGGCCGCGGGTGGCGGCCTGCGCGCCTGGGATGTACTGCGCCTTAACCAGGCGGCCCTCGGCCGGGCTGTCGGGGGGCGAGGGGGCGGCGGGTGGAGCGGCGGGCTCCGGCGCCACCTCAGCCTCCCACGGCGAGGCCCAGGCGCGGCCCAAAGCGGCCGGGCTGGCAGGACGGCCCCCCGCGCGCTCCAACTGGGCCTCAGGCGCGGGCCGCGCGCCCCCGGGGGGCGGGGACGCGTCGGGCGGCCGCTGGCGCACGCTGTTCTGCCGCCGCGGGCCCCCGTCCGCGCCCCCGGGACTGGTCCGGGGCTGACCCGCCCCCCGGCGGCGGCGCCTGCGCAGGAGCGCCGAGATGTAGCCTTCCAGGGGCCGCCCGGCGCCCGGGGCTTCGGGCAAGTCCGCAGGAGGTCGGGCGCACGGCCGCGGGCTGCGCAGCGCCACGGCGTGCAGCGGGCTGGGCGTCAAGAAGGGCCCCGCGCGGGCCCGACGCTCCGCCGAGGAGCAGGCCTCAGGGCCCGCAGACCCCACTGCCGTCGGGTAAGGCGCTGAGAAGGACCGCGGCACCGCTGCCCTAGCGCCCACCGCCTCAGGCGCGCTGGGACTGGCGTCTCCTAGGGGAGGGAAGGAGGAAAGGAAGCGTGCAGAGGCTCTCCAAGACCTTTCTCAACGAACCTGGTAGGGGCAGGCTGCCTACCGCCCGCCCCCCACTCTTTCGCTGCCTCCAAATACCCTGTCCTCAGCCCTTTCCTCATATCTACTGATAAAATCTTCACAGTGGCCTACAAGACCCTGCATGGTCTGCCATGCCTCTGCCTCTTTAACTTCCGTCCCTAAACCCTCTCCTCCATAGTTTAAGTCTCCACTTACACTGACCTTCTGAATGCACACGCCGGTCGCGCTCCAGCCTCAGGGCCTTTGCACTTGTGTTCTGGCTGTCTGGAACACTCTTGCCTCAGGATATCTGCGTGGCCCACTTACTCACTTGGGGTGTCACTCAAATATCATATAGTCTCAGTGACACCTTCACCAGCCATATTTTCTAAAATTGCAATTCCCTCTAACTTAAAGGGGCACGTCCTAGTTCCCTTCCCTACTTTCTTTTCATCGTACTTGTCAATATCTAATACCCCATATATCTTATTTATCTTGTGCATTATCTATTTATCCCACTAGAATATCTGCTTCACAAGAACAGGGATTTTGTTTACTGCTGTATCCCTCACCCCTAGAACATTGCTAAGATGGCGCATAGTAGGGACGCAGAAACTTGAATAACAGCAGCTCCTGTTTACTGAGTGGCTACCATGTGCCAAGTCCAATGCCTTAGGGCAGAGGATCGATCACTCGATACCTAAAATGTCCCTCTGAGGTAGGTGTTCTTATTGATCCCATTTAAACAGAGAAACAAAGGCCCCGAAAGAAGTGACATGCTCAAATCACATGAAAAGGAAATGCCACAGCCAGAATTGAATCCAGGTCGGTCTGACTCAGAAGCTTGTGCTCAAAACCATCCTCTTACTGTCCATTCTGTGGCTCTCAGGGCCCAGTGCCACCCACCTTACCTAGGGACTTGGGCCTCTCGCTGGCATAGATGCCCCGGGGTTCAGAGGGACCCAGGCGTCCATAGGAGCCAGATCCGGAGAAGCCGCTGTCCCCACAGAACGTCGAGGGTGGTGAGTCCGGACCTCCTGTGGAGCTGGGGTCTTCATAGAAGCCTGGGTTCCAGGGAGAAGGGGAGAGACGATCAGGAGGCCTGGATGGGGAAACCAGGGGTGAAGAAAGGAGGCCAAGAGGGAGAGGTGGAGGAGGCGAAGAGATAGGGGACAGAAGGACAGATTGGGGTGTCCCAGGCAGACCCTGCTCCCTCTCCCCATGCTCACCCGAGCTGCGCCCACTCTCCTGTTCCAGACCCCCAGACTCCAGGCTGAGGTCTCCCAGCTGCTGGCCCAGGTCCCAGATGAGCCCAGGCAAGGCCTCCTGAGGGCATGGGGAAAGCAGGATGGTCAGAAGGCCCCTGAGCCTTTGCTGACTGGTTCCCCATTCCAGCTCAGAAGCGGAGTTTCCTTTTGACAAGGCACTGATTTCAAAAGGGGTAAAGCAGTGCGCAAGACCCAACATCTCCCTCAGTACTCATGTCCCTTGATCCCATCAGAAGTTCTTCTGGCTGTCTAACTCCAGTCCTTCATACTGCAGCCACCTCATTCCCTTTTAGGTGGGATAAACTTCGGAAGGCCCCATCCCTTACCCCCTCCCTATCAGCTATTCGCCTTAACCCCTATTAGAATGTCCCTCTTTGAGTCTAACTTCAGGTTCTCTTGCTGTAAGGGTGATTCGCTGGTAAAAGTTGGTGTCCAGGACCTAGCAGATCCCTTAACCATTGGTTTGCTTTCTGTCAGCCCTTGACCCTCCCTTCTCAGATGCTCTTGTCTTCCTCCACTGCCCCTTATCACCAGTAGAAAGTTCTTTTGCAAGTCTTCCTTAAGTCATTCCTGCTGCAGACTGACTCATAAACTAGGCTAACCACCACTCATATGTCTTTGCTCCTCCCCTCAGAAAGAACCCCACCCCCTGCCAATGCCTCTGGAAAGTCCTTCTGTGAATCTACCTTGGTGGTACTGCAGCAACAAGCCCCATCAGGGTCTTCTGCCAGGGACCACATCTTCCTCCTCTCCTTGATCCATTCCTACCCAGAAGCCCCCGGTGTCCGCCCACTGCCTCTTACCCCCATGGGAAATTTCTGTTGAGTCTACCCTGGACCCTTCTTGCTGCAAGAAAAGACCATTTCTTGCCAGGTGTGAGTAAACAGAAGGTAAAAACCCTTTTATGGGTGTGGCAGTGATGGGGGTGGGGGCAGGGGCTGAAACAACACTGATGGGGTCTCCAAGACACTAGAACTTAAGTTTATTTGGGGAAACAGGGCCAGATCCAGGAGTCTCACATGGGTCTGAGCGAGGCCAGAGGTGGTGGCAGCCTAGGGCTGACGGTTGACCCTCAGACAAAAGTGGCTTGTCTGGACGGCAGGAGGGAAGCAGGGAAGGAAGGAGGAGGGGCTGGGAGGGCAGGCGCCCAGCCCGGCCTATTTAGGGCAGAAAGACTGGCTGGCTCCCCCGCAGACACCCCCACCCCCATCACCACACCCTCCGCCTCCGCCAGCTTCCTACTCCTGCGGCTGCTCTCCTGGGTCGGTCCTCCCCCCTCCCCCCAAGAACAGAAGCCCCCATCTGGGCTTGTTTATGGGAGGAAAGTCAACAAATCATTCCACTTTTGGCTCCTGCCCTGGGTGTGCAGAGATGCTCAGGGTGGTGTTAGCTTGGAGCAGAACCCAGGAAAGCAGCGGCATTGTGCAGCATCAGGGGTGGCTAAATAACAATCACACACACACCCAGTGTGACGTCCCCCAGTAATAGCCCCCTTACTCACTCTGCTCCAGCCACGCTGGCCTCCTCACTGTTTCCTGAACTTGCCATGCATGCTCCTACCTGCGTAGGCTGTGTCCCAGGCATCACCTCCTGGCTCCTTGCTTCATTCAGATCTTTGCTTGCACAACCCCTTCTCTGACCACTCTTTCCAAAAAAGCTTCCCTGTCATTCTGCACCCCGTTGCCCTCTTTTCCCCACACAGTAGTCATGACCTCCTGACTTAAAATGATAACGCAGATTGTCCTTTGTTTATTTGTCTCTCTCACTAGAATGTCAGGCCCCGGCAAAGATTTTTGTCTGTTGTGTTCACTGCTGCACCCTTCTCCCCACCCCCACTAGTGCCTAGAACAGTGCCTGGCACAAAGGAGGTGCTAAGGAAATGTTTGATAAAGGGATGAATGTATACAACAGAAAACTATACTGCTGTTAAAAAGGAAGGAGGCATCTGCTATACAGAATGATAACCAAGATATACATGGCGCAGAATGGAAAAAGTGTATAGTAGGTGCTGGTGTCAAAATTACCTGGAGGGCTGTTAAAACCAAAATTACTGGGTCCTACCTGCACAGCCTCTGATTCCAGCCTGGAGCCCCAAAATGTGCACATATAACAAGTTCCCCTGTGGTGCTGCTAGTCCGGTGGCCGCACTTTGAGATCCATGGGCATGGTCTCTGGGACCTCACCCAAGAAACTGGAATTTGTAAAAAGCAGAAGAAAACTCTACATGACTTGGTATGTAAACTGTTTCAGGGAGTAGATGCATTGAAAGGGGTCGGGAGGGACTCATACCAAGGTGACAATGGTGGTGTCAGGGGAGAGAGTGCCTTCAGGGGCTCAAGGAACAGAAGAGAGGACTGGATGGTAGAATGAAGTGCTTAAGGAGGCCTCACTTGGAGCCAGACTGCCAGCTCTGCCACTTCCCAGCTGTGTGACCTTGAGCAGGTTATTTCACCTCTCTGAGCATTGGTTTCCTTATCTGTAACATGGCATATCATTTGATTCCCACTCATAGGATTGCTGTGAGGATTAAATGAGTTGAAACAGCAGTTCTTTGTAAGCATTTAATAATGCTAGCTCTGTTACTACATGAAAGCTATGCATTTCTAAAAAATAAAATCATGTTTCACTTGTGTGATTAAAAATAAATATGAAAGGATGGGTTTGTGGGGGTACGTTCTGCAGGTCTAATTTCAGTTCTTCCACTGCAGGGAAGAGCAGGGTTTAGAGGGACAAACAGGAGATGCCTCCCTGCCTCCTCCCCCACCCATGCCTGGACCCCCAACACAATCCGGGTCCACACCTCACCATTTGTAAGTCTGACCTCATCCCTTCCAGCTGCAAAGGGATGAATCTTTAAAAGACTGGAAGGTCCTTGGCCTGAATCTGGCTCCCTGCAAGCCACAGTACCCTTCAGCCCTTTTTTGCAAGCGGGCTGAGCCCTGCAGCTCAGGCAGATTTAATATGAATGGTTAGAACCCCTGGAGACCTCTTCGCCCAAACTTTCCCAGACTTTTGTCCCCCACCCCTACTCCCATCCACACACACATATACACACGCTCACATGCCCTAGTCTGTGTCCAGTTCCCTTTGTCTCTGATAGGAAGTCATTCCGCAATTCTAACTTAAGTCCTTCTTGCTGGAGGGGGACCTTTTTCCTTGGTGGGAGAGAACAGGTCTCCTGCCCCCATGCAGAATTCTTGTCTCTTTTCTCTAAGATACCCCTATGTCTTTACCTGTATCCCCATCATTCCTATTAGAAATGAATCAAGTTTGGCTTCAGTCTTTCTTGCTTCCAAGGGAGTGTATTCCTGGGTGGGAGTTGGGGAGGGGAGAATCATAAGACAGAGGCTCCGGGATCAGAGGAAGCCCTACCCCCTCTTCAGAAGGACCCAGGAGCCCCCAGCACCAGAGTTTATATTTAGCGCCTCTCTGTTCCTCAGTGCTGCTGTCTCCCTCCCGCTGCCTGCCACCGCCTCCTCCCTGAAGCTGGGACGGAGCTTTGCCTGGGGACTCTGGGGGGAAGAGGCCTCTCCACTATCACTTCATGGGGGTGGGGGAGATGGAGGCTGAGGTACTAGACAGAGGGGCAGAGGAGGGGGAGACTGAGGGGCAGAGATTGGGAAGGTGAGAGGTGCAGACAGGGAGACTGAGGCAGAGAACGGGAGAGACTGAGGGATGGGAAGGAAGGACACAGCTTGCCCAACCCCAAGCCTTCTCCCTTTCCTTCTAGGGGTGGGAGGTGCCTTCCTGAGCCCAGCCAGCTTAGGGGGTGGGAGAGCTGGTGAGGGCCCCCACAATGCGTCTCTAACTTTGGGAGGGGGTGGGGCCTCCCACAGCTGTTTCTGTTTCCAGAGAAGAATGTGCAGGGTCCCGCTCCCGGCCGGGGGAGGGGCTGCGCCTTGCAGCCCCAAAGTCTGCCTTCAGCCCCCCTCCCCATTGCCCATCTGGGGAGGGGGCAGTCGAGGTCAGCACCAGGGAGAGCCCCCTCCCTTGCCACCTCGGCTCAGGTTTCCCCAAACGGGAAGCTCTGACCACACACAGGCTTGGGGATGGGATCTGCAGGAGGAGCCAGGGTCTGGGGCCTGGCAGGCTGGGGGAGGGGAAGAAGGCTAGGGGCAGGGACCTAGGCCAGGAAGCGACAGAGGTGCAGAAATGCAAGAATGAGACCAGGAGAAAGAGTGAGACACACACACAGAGAATTAAGAAAGACAGAGGAACAGACACAGAAAGTCACCGAGATGTGACAGTAGGGAGGAGTAAGAGAAACCCAGGAAGAGATGGAGAGAATCAGAAATGACACAGAGAGGAAGAGAAGGATGGTGCTCCTGAGATAATTCTGGAGACCTCTGCCTCATCGTCCACCATTAGAACACCCGAGGCATCCAGAAGTCAGACCCCCGTGCCGCTTCAGCCTGCTTCCTCTTGGGTTAACCCGGGCTGGGACCATGTAGGAAAGGAGGGAAAATGTCACTGGACGGTCAAGATCACCGTAGGGCCCTCTGGGACTGTGAGCTTCCTCTCAGCAGTGATCCCTTCCTCAGGAGGCCTAAGGATCCCCTTCCCCCACCCCGCCCCCTCCAGAGATCTCCAAGCACAGCAGGATTTAGGGAAGATGGAGCCCTGGGAGCAGGCCGGAGCGGGACATGTTTGCATCCTGACTGTGTGACCTTGGGTGAGTCGCTTGCCCTGTCTGAGCTGCAGTTCCTTTCTCTGTAAAATGGGGACTATCACCCCCTATCCCCCAAGCTGCAAGAAGACAACACATGCCAAATACTCAACCCAGCTTGACACAACTTGGTTCCCAGAAGGATTTTTCTTTGGGTAATGGGTGGAAGCGATGGGGCCCGTGCATCTCACGAGGCTTCAGCAGAGGCTATGCAGTGGCCCCTTCCTCAGTTTGAGGCGGGGGGGAGGGGGAGCCAGATCCTGCCCGCCGCCCAGCCTCTGGGGTCTCCAGCCCCACCCCCTGTCCTTTCCCATCCCCCATCCCTCAATCAGGACGGGTGTCTGAGCACCAAACCCAGACAGACGGACACAGACGGGGGTGGAGGGATGGACGGACAGGCGGCCCCTCACCAGCTGCTCCTCCAGGGCCGCAGCGGCCCGGCGCGCCGCCGCCGCATCTTCGTCCTCGTCGGCGTCCTCCTCGTCCTCGGCATCGGCGCCCTCCATTCCGGGCTGGGCCAGCCGCAACGCCTGCTGCACGCGGTACTCCTGCCTCTCCCGCAGCCAGTGCAACTCGCAAAGCCCGGCCAGGCTGCCCTCCAACCAGCCCCGCAGCCGGCCCCGCTCGGGGCTCACCGGGAACGAGAAGGCCCGGATCATGGCTGCGGCCCCCCGCCCCAGCCCGGCCGGGCCCCGCGGCCACCCCTCTCCCGGTCCCACCTCCCCACCCCAACAGCCCGCCTGCCCGCCCGCTGGCCCGGCTGTCACCGTCTCATCTGCATAGGCGCCCGCCCATTGGCCCGCCCACCCGCGCCTTATCTGCATGGCCACGCCCCCAGCGCCAGAACCATGGTCTCCTATTGGAGGGTGCCCTTCCTTACGAAGACGCACGACTTTTCACCCGCGCCCCTCACCGCGACGCATGCTCGCAGCTGCCTACTCTGCCTGAGGGCTGCCTCACCACGCCCCCCACTCCCGCCCGCGTTAGCGAGCCTCTGGGCCTTGGACACGCCCCCTTAGCGATGAAACAAGTCCGCCCTTGCTCCAATGCCATTGGTCTGCTTTTCCCCTGTCCCCAATCTCCGCCCCCTTGCGTGAGAGCTCTAGCTACCATTGGGCAGTCTAGCCCGGAGGGGAATAGGGGATCTATAAATAGAGAATGGATCCGCTTGACAGTGTGGCAACTGCTCCTACCCACTCCGCCGCACACACGACCCTTAGCTTCTGAGCCTGCTCAGTGGGTGGAAAAGGTTAGAGTTGAGTCCTGATTTGTCTCCTCTTCCACGAAGCTTTCCCAGACACTCGAGAGCCAGGACAGCTAGCAAGCGACATCTCCCCATAAAATTGTGCTTCACAAGCGTGCGACCGGCTTAGAAGGGCCCCATGCTTGATTTAATATTCTGCTGTTACTGTCCCGAAATTCTTATTTTTTGTGCAAGGGTCTCCGCATTTTCATTTTAAACTGGGCCTCACAAATTATGTAGCTGAGAATTGCTTCTAAGATGCCAAGGCCGGTTATATCCCAAATTCTGGAATTCTAATTCCCTGGGTACAAGATTCTGTGATTTGACTAGAACAGAATCTAAGCGTCTTTTGTCTCCCAGATGCTGTGAGGCTTTGCGCTCACCATTCTACGATTCCAGGGGCCTTTGTTCTGTGTTCTAAGAGGCTTTGTTCTCAGCCTTCCAAGATGCTCTGTTCTCAACGTTCTGTGGTCCTAAGAGTCTGAGTATGACAGTTGTTTGCAAGGTTAACCTCCTCCCTCTCCTGGCTCCATGAGCGGGGCTGGCGCCCCCTCAGGCGGCTAGCCTGTGTCACTACGCCGTGTGCTCCCCTCCAACCTTCACCTTCAAGATCTAGTTCCAATGTTCATACCCATTTCTCAGATCTTGACTCTCTGAAAACCAGGGCACATAAGATCATGTGAGAACCTCTCTCTTTTATGATTCTCCCGTGCACCAGGGACCTGTTCGTGAGCTGGAGGGGCATTGGTAGAGGAGAGAAAAGACTCAGGAACCAGACTGCCGTGTTGTTGAGCCCCAGCTCTGCAAATTTCTAGCTGTGTGACCCTGGGAAACTTGCTTAACCTTTCTGTGCCTCAGTGTCATCTGTATAATGGGGGTTATAATGCTGTCTACCTCATAAAGTTGTTATGAGGATTAAGTGAGATATTTGTTATTGGAGCAGTGCTTTCCATCTATAAGGAGCCACAGATGGGTCTGATACATAAATAAAAAACAATCTAGTGAGTTCCGAGGAGAAAAATGAGTCTGGACTTTAGTAGAGACTAACTTTATTCAATCCCCCTCTTGTTTAAGGTAGACCTAGACTGTCCTTAAATGGCCTCAATTTTCCAACAATGGAGAGATGGTTGGGTTTGATGATGGGGATTTGGAGAGCTCACTCTCAAACAACCTTTTCTTAGAAGTTAGTGTCTGGTTGATGTCAGCATTGGCTTTTCATCTCTGCTGTTTGTGCAAGAGTTGAATCATTTGCTGCATAAAAGGTTGGATCTGGAGCTGACTTAGGGTATTGGTCACAAGGGATTTGAAGATGGGTATTCCTAGGAAGATAAATAAAAAGAGAATTGCTAATGGTTGAATAAGGGGGTGACAGCAAGATTTGAGGCCAGAGGGCAGCCAGTTAGGGGGTTACAGGAGGTGAGGAGCCCAGTTCTGCAGATTTCCCTGCTGACCTCTGGATGTTCTTACTGATGAGGATGATGTCTGTAGAGTTCCTGAGACTGAGCACACAGCAACTGTTTCCAGCTACGGCACACACATCTCTCCCCTAGACTCCCCCAATCTGGGTACAAAGTGACTGAAACATGGTCAGAGGCCATATTAAATCCTCAGTTTACTTCCAAGCATTTGACTTCTTGTTCCAAGGCTTCTTTGGGTCCTAATGGAAAAGATCACAGTCATCCTGGCTTGTGTCTGGGTGGTGATTTCCAGCCTCAATAGGAAAGGTTTGGCAGGTCTCTTATGCTTGTGAGGAGTTGGGGGTTTGAGGGGAGAAAGAGTGACGCTTTAGAATGAAAGAGAATCAAAATTCTGATAACAGCTTACAGGATTGGCAAAATAACAGGAACCAGTCCAGCTGGTGGGTAGATACCAATCTGCCAATCTCCGTATGTCAAATATGCACCACTGAGGCAATCCAAGACTCATGGAAATAACTGTTTATTTGAAGCGTCAGAAAACAAATGCTGGTTAAAGGGGGAAAGCCAGGGAGAAGATGCAGGGACAAGGCTGGGTCCCTGAGATGAGTCACAATAGGAGTGGTGCCACCAATACCAAGAAAAATTGTCAGCAGCCTCAGTTGGGTCAGGATCAGTAATATTTTGATAGCTGGGAAACCTGGGTGAGTTCACTGAGGAGGTAGGTCCTGCCATTAGGGTTGTTACAGTGTCATTACTGCATAAAATGTTCAGCGATTAAAGAGACTGAGTCCCATGAAGGAGCCGTTGGGGGAGTTGTGGAAGAAGCACATAAATCCTGATTCATAGATGCGCGGGGGTTGGGAGGAGGTTGGTTCCTGTAAAGGCAGAGGTGTGTTGGGAGGGGTGCCTGAGGTTGGGCGTGGGACAATGTTCAATCCAACTGCAACAATCCTAATTCCAATTCCAAACCAAGTTACATTCTGGGGTACTAGGGGATGAGATTTCAACATATCTTTTTTGGGGAAACACAATTCAACTCACAAGAGGCCCAGAAGCCACTGGAGTTGAAGTTTTATCCTGGGTAAAAGGGAAATAAATGATGGGTTAAATGTGTTCTGTGGATAAGGTTTTACATTTGGGTGCAAGGTCATGTCCTAACCAGTGTGCTTGTGACTTACACAGTTGTAATTTGTCCCTATATACCTGTGTCCCTATGAGCAAGGGCTTGGGATAGATGATTTGAGTGTCAGTGAGTGAGATGAAATGAGCGGAGCAGGGGAGAAGATCATCTATTGGATTGGAGAGGAATTGCAAGGGAAAACCAAACCTCCCCAAATTAGCATTCAGAGTCTGAAAAAAGTAAGTAGGGGCTTCAGTGGTAGTAAGGGGGACTAATGAGACAGAGAGTGGCTTAGACAAATGTAAACCATGTGGCAAATTGTGGCATTTCATCATCACTGCAGCTCAGTACTGAAGGAGAGTAAAGGGATGCAGGGGCTGTAACAGGGAGATATTTATGGGGGAGTATGTGGCCTCTGTGTCTACTATAAAGTTAGGATGCCCATTAATGGGAATTGTCATTTCCCCCATGGGTTTAGTAGTGTTTATGGACACAGAGGAGAAAGTCTGCCAGAAGATAATCCTTGGGCATACTGAATCTTACACTTGAATTCTTTTGTATTTTCAAGTCCAGTGTCCCTTTTCTTCACAGTATCCACAAGTGTCTCTATCAAGATTAGAATTTGTGGTACCTGAGGGCCCTGTTAGGATGGCCTTTTTTGTCTCCAATTTAAGGTGCGGAACCTTACATTATGCTGTGTGCTGCTGGGCTATCTCATGGAATTCTGTAACCAAGGCATTTTTCCAGTTAACATGTTTTTTTTATCACATCTCTAATTTCTGGTCTCAGGATATTAACAAAACTAGTGGCCAAGATTGAAGCAGGATGATTATAAAGGACAGGCCTGAGTAGTCTTTCCATCCATTTCCTAGCCTGGGTCTATCATTGGAGATGGATTTGTCTGTTGCCTACATGCGTGGATCTTAGACCGGTTGGTATTCAGGATGGACTCTAAGAGACATTCCCTGACAGCATTAGCTCAGATTATGCCTCAGAAGCATTCCAGTTTATTTGGAGATCCTCATTGACAGAGGTCCTTTTAGCTTCCTCCAATCAAACAGCTGCAGCTCCAGAGCCCGCCAGCAGATGGACTGATTGATATAAATTGAGATGTCCCAGAGAGGAAGCTCCTGATACCAGCCTAAATTGGCTGCTAAATACTGCCCTGTTTTTATAGGGTTTGTGTGAATCATAATGAGTTGTAAGAAATTTGGTACTGGCACAAGAACAGATCCATAAGACCCATGGAACAGACTAGAGAGCCCAGATATAAATCCAAGCATATATGTTTGGTTCTTAGACAATAGGTAAGAATTTCATTTTCTTTAAAGAAGCAGGCTTCTAAAAATGCAAAATGTCTGATCTAAGCAAGAGAAAACATCAGACAACCCAGGGACATTCCAGAAAAGACCTGGCTCTCCAAAGATCATAAAAGACAAGGAAAGACTGAGAAACTGTCACAGAACAAGAAAAGACTAAAGACAACCAAATGCGATTTGGGGTTCTGGACTGGATTCCAAAACAGAAGAAGTGGGAAAACTAATGAAATTCTGTAAAGTCTGTACTCTAGTGAATAGTACTGAACCAATATTAATTTCTTAGTTGTGATAACTATGATTATGTAAGATGTTAATATTGGGGAAGCTGGATAAAGGATATATGGGAACTCTGTGTACTGGGTTTGCAACTTTGCTGTATGTCTAAAATTCTTCCAAAATAAAAACTTAAATAATGAGTTGTAAGAAACACGTATTTGGTCATTCAGATGACCAAATATATACTTCCCAGGTATATCTGGTCTTTATCCACAGTTCTTGAAAGCACTTCAGTCTTAAAGGCTGCATCCTGCTTCTCTGCCAGAGCTTCCACACTGAGGTAACCCAGCACGCTTCCACACGCCACCGGGCCAGGGCCCAAGCTCCACGAGAACAGAAGTGCCTTTATTT